TTGTCTACACCATTATTTTCTTTGATGATCCTGTATGCCACATTACAATTGGTTTGTAGTTCCAGAGTTAAATGCATCATTGTTTCTGCTTTAATAATACTTGCATTATGATAGAGTGCTTTTCATGTCTTCTAGACGTCTCAAAGTGCTTCACAGAATACACTGTAAAGTGAACTGATTGTATAAAGCAGAAGTGTGAAAAAAAATCAGTAGTAGATAAGATAAATAATAATAATCCTTGCATTTGATATAGTGCTTATCATGTCGTTGAGACGTCTCAAAGCGATTCACATTGTAAAGAATCCAAAGAACTATCCCCCAACTTACCTGCCCGTACCCTCCGTTCCTCTGGCTCCGGTCTGCTCCACATCCCCCGCCCCAACCGCCCTACCATCGGTGGCCGGGCCTTCAGCCTCTCAGCCCCGAGGCTCTGGAACTCTATCCCCCAGTGCCTTCGCCGCTTCCTCCCTTTCCTCCTTCAAGGCCGGTCTCAAGGCCTTTCTCTTTGACCGTGCCTTCAGCTCCCCTCTCGACTCTCTACACCCTCCTCGCTCCCTCCCTTCCCTCCCCTCACCCTCACCATATCCCCACTGCTCGGGTCCCGACCCAACTGTACAGCGCCTTGGGACGTCCTCCCGACATGCAAGGCGCTCTATAAATGAAATCTTGTTGTTGTTGTAAAGTGGATTGACTGAATTTATTTTTTAAAAATGCAGCTGACTATTCTCAATACTTTCTGAATGCACACTTACGAATACACTAATTTGCAATATTTTATGAATGTTAATCAAGATTTCTAATTTAGAATATGAGTATTCCATGTTCATTGTCCCTCGGGATATAAGTAGGGAATTACGTTTTCAATTCAATTCTCATTAATAGAATGTGCAAATGACATATGAGAAAATGATGCATTGAGATATTTTGAGTTGAGGTAATTATACTAAGAATACAAATCCGGTAATAGGGCAAACATTTTCCCATCATCTTAGCTTTTATTTCCTACATATTCAAATTCTCTTCCTCCCCGACCCCCCAAAAATTAAATGTCTCTTCACCTCATTGTTTTTCACAGGATGTTGCTGATGCAAACGAACTGCTGTGGCTGTCTGGATTAACATTCACTTCATTTCTAGTTAGTCTCAAGCTGTAAAGAGCCACTATATTCATACTATGAATATCAACAAGCAGAGAGACTCTGATATACCTTCTGGTTTCTTATATCAAATGTATTCTGAATAACATTTTGCCTTGATTCATTTCACATTTGACACTATTTTGTTCGCTTAACAGTTCTCCAAGTTGCATGAAGCGTTCCTAAAATTAATCATTGATCTAAATGAGTATCAGTTGCACTAAATGGCAATTTGCCTCCTTACCACAGTGAACGTTACATTGATGATTTCACATAACATGATGTGAGATGGGAATTAATTGACAATAAATGTTTACTATGGTATGACACACTCCTGTTTCGCCCCCATCCTTCTTGATCATATAATAACAACAACAAAATTACATTTGTATAGCGCCTTTTACTTCGGGAGGACATCCAAAGGCACTAGAATCGAATGCTATAATCGAATAATAATAGCAGAAAGTCGCATTATTATAATAATAATAATCCTTGCATTTGATATAGCGCCTTATCATGTCTTGTTATTTCATATAAGATTGCAACACATTTAGGACAAGCTATAAAATAGATAGCTACAATTAAATTCTGCTAGGCATATTGAAATACTTTTGCAAATACTCATCCCAGCTGCCATGAAAACACTTTACCTTCCATTGATCAATCATATGTCAGGACTCTAATTAACCATGGCTATTGTCTACCTTGTTCACCTTGATGGATTAGTAAATATTTTCAGTTCCACATCCATTATGGAACAGATTTCACTGCTACTCATTGAAAGTAACCAATATGTGATGCAAAAATAGCAATAGCTTCTTCTGTCAATTCTCAGACTGCCCTTAACAATGTGTTATGGGAAATGCAAATGTTATCATAGGCCATCTCCAGATGGTTTCTTCCTTCAGTTTCCAAGTGGAAACAATCCAATTATTTGCTTAGTGGGTTTATAATAATAAAATAATAATCCTAATATAGAACCTTATCACATCTTCGAGACATCTCAAAGTGCTTCACAGAACATACTGTAAAGTGAACTGACTGTATATTTTGTGGGTGAAACGCGGCAGCCAATTAATTGTGCACAGCAGTGTCCCACGAACAGTCATGGATTGAAGTGATCAGTTTTTTAAAACTTTTTTGAAGGAATTATTACCCCCGGAAAAGTGATCGACTAACAACCGGGTTCTTACTTAGTTGACTTGGGACTGTCAATCATCTTGAAGGACTGAAAGACTGTTTTGATCTTTCCAGTGATATGATTTATACAGCTAAAGTAATAGACATTATTGAAACATACAATTATATAAAACTCTTTTAATTAAAAAAAAGCATTTACTTAAAGTAAATGCAATGATTTTTTTTAGTATAGGTATAACTTTACACTGAACATCCCCATGGATAAATTCAAACAGCCTATTTGAATTTGCCATTCGATAACCATTGAAAATGTAATCTTTGTGGGATGCTTAAGGTGTGCGTGGACTGATCTGATTGGGATAAGAATTCTGGAAAATTAGATTCAAATCCTGTAGTTATTTGATCTTTTGATGCAGATAACACATCCGTGGAATCACACTCCATCTCACTGACCCAGTCAGGAACCTAGGCATCTTGTTTGACCCTCCTTCTTACCCCACATCTGTGCCATGACTCGCTCTGTCACCCCCCAATCCCGCGCACACACCTCCAAAACATCACCCAGCTCTGCCACTGCTTCACCCTTCAATCCCCAAAACCCTCATCGACAAATTCATCACATCTAGGCTCAACTACACCAACTTCCTGCTTGTCGGCCTTCCCAACTCTTCCCTCCATAACCTGCAGATCATCCAGAACTTTGCACTTTGAGTCCTCTCCTGCACTGGACTCTGTGACCCCATCACCCCCACCTTTGCCTGACTCCATTGGCTCCCCATCCCTCAGAGGATAGAGTTCAAAATCTTTGTCCTCGCCTTCAAAACCCTCCAAGGCCTTGCCCCTTCCTACCTCTGTGACCTGCTAACCCCTTACCAACCTGACCGCTCCCTCCGCTCAACAGGCTCCTGATCCCAACCTCCCACCCCGAAACCCCCGCCCCCGCTCGGGTCTAAATCACTGACTGTCCAACGCCTTGGGATGTCCTCCTGACATGAAAAGCGCTTCACAAATGTAATTTGGATTTATCTTGTATAACATAACTGGATCATTGTGGGAAGGATTGAGCTCCTGGCTGATGCTATGCTTTCAGCCCTCTGTTGGTTGGTATTGCAGTAATAATAATCCTTGCACTTCTGATCTGAGGAGTTTGATCTGCCCTCACACAGAGGAAGTGGAGATACTGGAACTCAGAGCTCACTTGAGCACCTGGTCACTTGGCTCAGTCAGGCTTGTCCTGCTGGAGAGGCCATCCGGTCACCTGACTTGCTCGGGTGGTCGTGAAGACATGGTTCAGGTTTGCATTGTCCTTTGACAATTTGGGGCCAAGAATAAATGGGGGTATTGGGGCTCATCTGTGGGGGAAACCCTTGTTCCCAGAGTGGAATGTTTTGGTCTAATTCGGTTAATGGGGGTGATTAGGCCTAACCTCGCTCAGCAATAATTTTTTAAAAAATGTTATTTAAAATTCTAAAACTTCAAACAAAAAGAGAGATATACAGGCAATGCAAAGGTAGTGAAACCTGTCTTATAAGTTGCTTCTTCTGTAGTGACTGCAATGCCAAATATCATTTACTTTCAAAATAATGGTTCGCACTTAAACCTGTATTAGTGCCTGTCTCTGATCATCTGTTAAAGATAATAGAAATCTCACCAAAAGCAGAATTTTCACTAGTAAGGCGACAATTTATAACCAGTTGAACTTTTGGAAAATAAATGGTGTTTCACAATTGCATCACTATTTTCTCATTTAAACTGGAAGTGGGTTGAGTGTATACAGAGTGATTCTTGTCTACAGAGAAACGCAATGAAAGTTTCTATTCGTAGAAGTTTTTTTATTTTTCGTCACAAGTTTTTTTTATTATTAATTTTATAAATATTATTTTCTGGGTGGAGCAGAGAATAAGATGTCCCTGTGGAGTAAACATGTAGGCAATGTAATTTCCTGCAGAATTGGATGCCAGATTCCCTCCAGCATTAGTCTGCTTCATAAGTGGTTCACTTTCAAATACACAGTGCCTCACCCAAACAGCTCATTTTTTGTATTATTTACACTAAGAAATTAAAACGATAAACATATTCATCTGTTTGAAAACAAAAACTAATCTGAAATGAATTTCATAGCAAATACTCATACTGTAATATAAGCAATTGGTTGCACCATGGGATTATATATAAAATACGTTTTTTACTTTCATTGCATGAAAATGCAATCTCTTAAAAATCCATCCCTTGAATATGAGACAGTACATTTTAAAAGTCTATAAGTCTTTGAATGAATCGCTTTCCAAATATGTTTTACTTTAATATTGCAGGTTTTTAAAAAATACTGTTTGTGATTTAAATTTGATTTTTTTAATTACAAAAATATCATTCAGGACCTGAATATGAGACCGAATGTGGTTGTTTTTTTGCGGGGGGATGAAAAAAAATTCAGGATCATTCTTTTGTTTGTTTATGCCTTAAAAAAGGGTGTATGGTCTGCCATTATTAATAATATGACATCGGGAATAGTGTTGAAATATTTCTTCTGCTTTTTCCAAAAAAAGGGGGGAAACGATGTTTTGGCACTGCACAGCACTGCAGAGCTCTTTTTCACAGAGGAAGCAATTTTGTTCCTTTAATCCATTCTGTGAATTCAATCATTCCTCTTTCCATACCAGGATTTAATGGGAATGAGGTTGGCTTTCAGACATGTTGCCAGTCAGTAACTGTCTGGAGTGTTTACCTTAAGCCTTTCAGAAACACCGTCATTGAAGCTGATGGTGAACTCGGCGATCTTCGGTACTCTCAGTCTCCCTTTGTTCTTTTGATCGGATTGGAACTCAGTTCTTGTTTTCACCACAACCTACAGAGCAAACACACACCGCGGGGCCGTCACAGGGCTGAGCTTCAAACTCCTGCCGTTCAGGTTAGCTGTAATCATGCCTTGGAATTATTTTTGTGCCCTAATTTAAATTATAATAATCCTTGCATTTGATACATTATACATCGTTAAGACATCTGTATGCACAGTATACCGCCAGTTTTATTTCAGAAAATTCTGTTTGCATTAATTCTCTACCACGAAATTATGTTGCGAGACAGCGACATTGGTGACTGCAAATGTTCTCTTACCTTGTTAACGTGTTAATATTAAAGGGTTTAATATTAGTTGATAAATTCTGAAATGCGTCTGGGGGAAAACCTTCCAGGTTTGCTTCACCTGTCGGCGTGTGTTTGCGAAATCGACACATTAAACTGTACCCAATTTAAAAATGTTACAATTCCTTCTACACGCGTTGTGTGGTTTGTTGCAGAGATTGAGGTTATTGTGCAAAAATACTATTTTCTCAGATCCTGCGGGTAAGTTTGCAGCGTCTCTATATATTATTACAGGGAAACAACTACCCATTATTTTTGAGCTTCGCCAATTGCCTTGACTTTGAGGTGCTGGGAACTGCTGTCTCCACAAATACCTTGTCTGGAGCAGGGAACTGCAGGTGGTTCACATCCAGGGGTGTGATCAAGGGGACGGTGTGAAAATTCTCATCGCTACAAGCTTGTTGTTTGCTGTTCTTCTCGTTCACGTTACTCCCCAGTTTCACCATTATTCACGACGTTATTTGTTCTGCCTTTTTCCCAAACAAAAAACTGCTAGAAAAAANGAGGGAAACGATGTTTTTTTNGGCACAGCACAGAACAAAACAGAGCATTTTTTACACAGAAGAAACATTTTTGTCCATTTAATCTTACACTCTATGAATTGAATAAGAACGATATCATTCCTCTTTTCAGACCAGGATTTACCAGGAACGAGGTTGGAATACTAATGTATTCCTGTATGTTCAAATCTGTGACAAATCTCTCAAAGCGATTTAATTATAACAAAAAACGCCATCTGGTTACCTAAACATTATAATTTTGCCATCACTGTCACAGTAACAATTTGTTTTGTGTCAATGACACAAAAAATAGGTCTTTAACCCACGAATAAAGACAGAGCGTCAATATTATCCACACAGAAATCAGAAATACTGTATGTGCATTTTGAAGATTAATACAGTAGAAATGGAGAGTATAACAACGCTTTGTTCGATCCTTAGCACCCCTGGAAGGTTTATTATGTTAAAGCAGAGACATTAGATGAAAGAAAGAGACATTTCTATTCCTTTCGTGTCACGTAGACTGCACTGTTATGCAGTGCAGTTATCCTTCCATGACCATTTCACGTTAACATTTCTTATCTCCTCTGAAGAATTATCAAGGAATATGGGTCCAAATAGGATGGATAAGAGAGAAGATGCGCAGGGGGTGAAAGCATATGCACCTCCCACTCTTGCAAAGTAAGAAAACGCCACATAAAGTCGGTGTTCACAAGCCATTGTCTATGTCCTTGATGTCAGTCTGTGTTTGCACTGCACTGCACACAGAAAATCCTCATCTCCAATTTGGGACAGAGAATTTCACAATCAAACACTCTCACACACATAATAAAAGACTACCCTTCTGCAATACGTTAACTCTTAGCAACCGTGCAATATTTTGACATTTAATATTAGAAAGGAGATGACAAGGAGGGAGGAAACTATTATACTTTGAAACTGGTGAGGCTTGTTTAAGAATAAAAGCTCTCGACTACACAAAGAGTAATTTTAAATGGTGGGGGACGAGGGAAAGATTCCTTCGAAGGTTTACTTACAGAATAGGTGGTAATACCTTGACGAGAAAAGCACCTCAATCACAAGATGGCGTTGGGTGAAGGGAGGCTTTTGCAGTACAACCTAAGCAGAGAGCGCTCCTGCCGCAGACTGAGCAGGTTTGGTGCTGGAAGTGAAAGCTCCTTTGCGATGCGGGACACTGTCATCCAACCCAGTCCTTCCTTCACTGCTTTCCTCTATGCATTGCACTGTACAAACATCGCCGCCTACAGCATTTGCTAACTAAACTTCTAGTGCTCTCTTGTCTACAACAGTTCTACACCGTTTTATTTTCCTATTTGCACACAAAAAAAGTTGCAATAAATGATATATTGCAATATATTTCCGGTATACATTTTTTTTAAATTCTTAAATTTATCATATTGATAACATAAATATTATTCCCTTTGAGGCCCGATGGTGTTGATAATGTATGTATGTATATATGCGTTGAAAATTGTAAGCAAATAAACATAAAAAATGAGATATTGAAGATAACGTGGAAAATTAACTAAATAATGAATGGAATAAAATGAATGGTAAATAAAACTGGATTTCCTTCCGCTACAAGATTCTTTAAAAAGAGAACCCGCATCGAACCACCATCCACCCCCTTGCACTTGAAATCTCTTTGTAGCATGAGTTAGTTCAAAATGAACCAGTGTTATATTGTCTAACATATACAATGGGAACTGCCTAGTTTGCTAACCTGAAAACCTGATGCATAACGCATTAAATGGAGACGGGTTCCTGTCCCTAATGAGTTTTAAGACATTGAGTGGTTTATTTTCGTGGCTTAAACCCACCAGTCTTTTGTTATTTGTGCTTTTGAATCCACGTGTTAATTGCTGGACATTACATTACATGTTTTACCATTGAAAAGAAGCACAATGCAGTTCACTCCTATAGTTTTCTGGGAAACTATATTTCAGTAAACTGCAGGTTCTTTGGTGAGAAAAGGGTACCATTTTCCAGTCGTGTTGAACGTCAGACATCCAACCATTGTCTCCTTGCGAGCTCTTAAGTCATGCCAATGTAGTTAGCCCCTGACTTTCAGAATATTCAATAATGGGCAAATATACTGTGTATATCTTAAGCAAAATGGACGGTGTGGGATAAACCCCAATCTCTCAATAGGCGTGTTTGCCAAGGAAATTGTTTGGCACAAGATCAAGTTGGTACCATATCTGCGTCTGCAATTCACACCTGACCATTTGTACTGAGAAACCAACTGGCAATGTTTGCTGACTATTTGAACCTGAGCAACATGCTAGCTAATAAAGAGTACTTTAAGTCAGTCCCAAATATTCTGCTTGACACGCTTCATTCTGCACTGAAACCTTGGAAAATAATTCCTTTTTAAGTTGACGTCTTCTGGAGGAAGTTTATCGCCAAGTATCGCCCACAAAATATACAATAAATTCACTTGATAGTATATTCTGCAAAACACTCAAGATGTCTCAACAAAGTGATAAGGCATTTTATGTAAGGATTAAATTAATTCAAATAGCCACAGTACAGTGCACAAGAATGTTGTGATATGTGACTGTCCATTTAGTTTTGATAATATGAAGAAGTCAGCTATAGGCAGAAAATTGGGTTATTCTCACTGTTTAACTGATTTATGACACAAAATAGTGTCAATACAAAGTGTTAGTGGAGTACAAATAAAAATTGGGAAAACATTAAAAACAATTATAATTTGTAATAGGAGCTCCAACAATAGCAATATTTCTGAAATACTGGGTAAAGAACAGACAGCAGCCCAGGAAAAGTGCCATGAATGAATTCTGCATTAAGTTAGAGAGGGATATAGTTAATTCAGAGGCAAGTATTCTGAATTTAAATAGGGCTAATTTTGTAGGTATGGGGAAAGATTTAGGTAAAATAGACTGGAGAATAGGATTAAGAGGTAAAAATGTAGACCAACAGTGGCAAATATTTAAGGATCTATGCAAAATTCTTAGAGGTTGTATATTCCCTTGCGGAATAAGAGTACCACAGGGAAAGCAATTCATCCGTGGCTAACCAGAGCAGTTAGGGAAAGCATCAAATTAAAAGAAAAGGAGGCTTATAAAACTGTCAAGAAAAGCGGCAAATCTGAAGATTGGGAGAGTTTTAGAAACCAGCAAAATAAAACTAAAAAACTCATTAAGAGCGAGAAAAAGGAGTATGAGGGTAAGCTCGCTAGAAACATTAAGTCTGATTGTAAAAGTTTTTACAAATATATTAAGAGGAATAGGCTAGTGAGGGTAAATGTAGGTCCACTTCAGTCAGAGACAGGAGAAGTTGTAATGGGGGACAAGGACAAGGCCAGTTAGTCTCACATCAGTGATAGGAACAAGTTTAGAATCATTGATTAAGGATGTGGTAGTGCGGTATTTAGGGGAGCACAATATAATTAGGCCAAGTCAACATGGCTTTACAAAAGGGAAGTCATGTTTGACAAATCTCATAGAGTTTTTTGAGGACATTTCCAGTAAACTAGATAAGGGTGAATCAGTGGATGCGGTCTATTTGGACGTCCAGAAGGCATTCAATAAGGTGGCGCATAAAAGGTTAGTCCAAAAGATAAGAGCCCATGGAATTGGGGGGAGCATATTAACGTGGATTGTGGAATGGTTAACGGGTAGGAAACAAAGAGTAGGGATAAACGGGTCCTTTTCAGATTGGCGGGATGTGACGAGTGGAGTGCCACAACGATCAGTCCTTGGGCCTCAGCTATTTACTATCTGCATCAATGATCTAGATGAGGACATCGAAGCTAATATATCTAAATTGGCGAATGACACAAAACAAGGAGGAAGTGCCAACACAGAGGACGACATTAAAAAAATGCAGTGAGACAGATAGGTTAGGTGATTGGGCAGGTAGGTGGCAGATGAAGTATAATGTAGGGAAGTGTGAAGTCATCCACCTAGGCAGCAAAAACAGAAGAGCGGGTTATTTTTTAGAAGGGGAGAGATTAGAATGTGTTAGCGTCCAGAGGGACTTGGGTGTCCTTGTACACCAATCACAGAAAGTTAGTCTGCAGGTGCAGCAAGGAATAAGGAAGACGAACGGTATGTTAGCATTCATTATGAAAGGATTAGAGTATAAGAGTAGGGAAGTCTTGCTGCAACTGCATAGAGCCCTGGTGAGACCTACCCTAAGTCCAGTTTTGGCCTCATTTAAGGAAGGACGTACTTGCCTTGGAGGGGGTGCAGTGTAGATTTACTAGGTTAGTACCAGGGATGAGTTACGAGGATAGGCTGACCAATTTGGGCCCCTATTCTCTAGAATATAGAAGAATTAGAGGGGATCTTATAGAAACCTATAAGATCATCAAAGGGCATGATAGAGTAGATAGTGGGAGATTGTTTCCCCTGGTTGGAGAAACTAAAACCAGGGGTCACAACCTTAAAATCAGAGGCAGCCCTTTCGCACTGAGTCGAGGAAGAACTTCTTCACTCAAAGGGTGGTGAATGTATGGAACTCACTACCCCAAAGCGCTGTTGACACTCAGTCCTTCAACATATTCAAGACTGAGATAGATAGATTTCTTATTGCAAAAGGGATTAATGGATATGGGGATAAGGCAGGGTCAGGTTATTAACTGGAGTTAGATTAGAAGATCAGCCATGATTGAATGGCGGAGCAGGCTCGAAAGGTTGAATAGCCTACTCCTGCTCCTACATGTTATGTTTATAGAAAAGAGCAACATTTGACAAAAAAGATTTAGTGGGATCTCTGTGACTCTCCCTATTGTTGGTGCTGGCCTATGCTGTACCTATTATACATGTTGAAGATGCTGAATGAGAAAGACTGTCAAATCTCAGACCAATTAACTTACGTCCAGTTTACTGCCGTAAAGCCCAAGTTGTATATTATATTCTGCATTTTCATTGGTCAAGGGCTAAGAAGACATCTGTGCATGTACAACTAAGTATATAAGAGCACTCGCTTTGCAAGTGAGAGACCCGAGTTCAATTCCAGGCAGGGCGAAACCTTGGGCAAGTTTTCTTACTCCACACACCCAATAATAATCCCTCCAAAAACCCAAAACAATAATAAATTGGTCATTTTCAATCTACGACTGTTTGTGGGACATTGCTGTGCGCAATTGGCTGCCGCGTTCGCCCACAAATATACAATCAATTCATTTTACAGTGTATTCTGTGAAGCGCTTTGGGACGTCCTCCCGACGTGAAAAGCGCTATATCAATTTCAAGGATTATTATTATTAAGTATGTGTACAGAACTAGATTTAACAGGCAAAATGCCAGTCAATTGTTTTAATTTTAATGGAGCCAGTTTTAATACCTTTATAAAATGGTCCCTTAAAAACTCTTGAGAATCTATTTTTGAGTGATGACCAAAGCAATTTACACTCCTTGCGTTCCTGGTAAAGGTACAAGTGGGTTTGACAGGATGGCTCCATCAAAAATCACTTTGTGATCACACAACCCAAATCTGATTTACACAATTTGATGCATTGATTGGGTGCAAATTAACTAGTATTAACTAAGATGCAGAAGACAATTTCATATCAGTATATATTATACCTAGATGAAATGACCATTAATTAGTTTAACATTATATGATCTTAAGTATTTTTTATTGACAGTGAGAAATATAGTGACTTCAATTACATTGATATGCATTACAACAACAACAACAAGATTCCATTTATAGAGCGCCTTTCACGTCGGGAGGACGTCCCAAGGCGCATTACATCTTTCAAAATAAAATTAAGAAATTGAACTCACTGGATTCAATATATAATTGTAAATTTTTTGATTCAAATCAGAACTCTCAAATATTAACTGTAAATACAATTCTTCAATTCAAATCCATTTCAAGGATTTATAATAAATTAACTGCAAATATAAATATTACACAATAATAATCAAATGAATTGTATGCAAAATATGACAATTGTAACTTTAACAAATAATCCTAAAATTTATATCCCGAGTCTAACAGCTTGAAGCGATCTTTGAGGATTCTTAAAATCCTACACCCATCCAAAAAGAGTTGCATCCTAAAATAAAAACACAGAATAAAGTTACCTCTATGGAATATGACAATCTTAAAAAATATGTAACCAATATTAAAAAAAGACTATGGGAGTAAAAGTCATCAGTTCCAAGCTGTCAAAACTCAACGGCACTTATGTATAAGTTTCATAATCAGTAATGAAACTACATTTATGTACATTATAAAATTGATTCACTGTTCAAAATTCAAGCTATTTTGAAATGTTACTGAAGACTCAGCACATATCAAAATATCATAAAAGTACAAAAAAAAGTTTGCAATACCATCTTTTTAGATTTATTGCCAAATCAACGTAAATCTTAAGAGAATTTTTTTAATAAACATATAGGTGAACACAAAAACATCCATCAGTCCTTAAACAAGGTCCCTTTTCCCAATTTGTCCACAGTATTTTTAATGGGACATTCAAGCAATTAATTATTTGTTTTATATATTGACCCATTTCCTTTATCTGCCTTTATCTATTGTTAAGCACAAACACTTTCCCAAAGGCCACAATCACAATGGATTGTGGCCCTTGGGGGAGGTTTGTGTCAGCTACTCTCGGGAGTGTTATAACATGCTGTACTAAGGAATGGGAGGATGTCAGTGCACAACTGAGATTTTCCACAGAATGAGCTCCTGATTTTAGCCATGTTATCATGGCTGGTTACCAAAGAGAGACCAGATACTTTCCCACAGGAGAAACAAAGTAAAAGACCAATTATTTTATTGATATCCTTTCAATTGCTTTGGGGAACTTGCTCCTCCTGTTCTGGGGCTTCCTAGTTAACTGTGTGAATTGCTTTGAGATGTGCTTCTTACTTGAAAGATGTTGTATAAATGTAAATGCTCGTTGGAACAATAAGTTCATAAAATACATACGAACGTTCCAGTAGATCCATTCTCTTTCGCTGATATTTCTTCCTCTTCTGTAACTATAATAAAACATTACAGCAACATATAAATAATATTGATACGATCACAAGATCACAAGAGCAGTTCAGATGAGGAAGCTCAGTTGATCTTATCCATCCATCATACACATTCCAACATTCTCCACTCCACTCGGGGAGCGGCGGCAGGACAGCGCGGGGAGGAGCCCAGGCCTACTGACCAGGTACTTAAACTCGACGCCGGAGCGAGTTCAGCCCCGGGGGGGGGGGGGGGGGGGGAGGGAGGTGTGGGAGCGGAGCGGGGAAACTGCGACGTCATAGATTAGTTTTCAGGTGCGTGCGCACGCGCAAAAAAAAAAAAAAACCCTCTGCGCCCCCCCCCACCCCAGGGCTCACATCAGAGCCCACTATGGTCCTGTTGCGTTCGCTGCCCCAATCTACGGGATAATGCCATCCACCTGACCGCTCGCTCCCGGTCCCCGCGTGCGCACTATGGCTGCCGCTTTGACCCTCACCCCCTCACCCCCTCCCTCCCCCCCCCCTCCTCTCTCCCCCCAAACCCTCCCCCCTCTGCATCTCTCCCGCTCTCTCCTCCTCTCTCTCCGTCCCTCTCGTCTTCTATCCCCACTTGACCCTCCCACAACCTCCCTCTGCTCCAGCCTGGGAATCCTCCGCCGGGCTCACCGCGGCACTCGGCGTTGGCTGTCCAGCAGCAGCCACACCGACTGCCCCATTCCCCACCACACTCGCCACCCACCCCGGACACAGACCCGGGGAGTCAACCTCTCCTCCCTCATCCCCATTCCCCCCACCCCTGCCTCACAACCTGGACCCCCTCCCCTCCCACACACCCTTCTGTCAACCGCTCCCTCCACATCGGACTGCAAAATGTCCGCTCCCTCTGCAACAAGGCCCTGGTCATCAACGATCTCATCCTTGATGAGAACGTTGATATCATGGCCTTAACAGAAACCTGGCTCACCCCAGGCGACACCTTCCCCCTCACGGAGGCCACGCCACCCGGCTACACCTCCCACCACATCCCCCGCCCCAACCGCCGTGGCGGTGGTGTTGCCCTTATCTCAAGGACACCACTTGCCCTATCCCCCTACTCCACTGGCTCTTTCCCCTCCTTTGAGCACCTCACCCTCTCCCACCCCTCATTCCTCTCCCTTAAAATCCTCCTCCTCTACCGGCCCCCTAAAACCTCTCCCACCTTCATCTCTGACATTTCAACACTCCTCACATCTCTTTGCCTCTCCTCTGATCGCCTCATCATCCTGGGCGACTTTAACCTACACTTCACCCCCTCCTGCTCCATCTCCACAGACTTCTCTTCCCTGCTCTCCTCACTCAACCTCTCCTTACACATAAACTCCCCCACTCACAGTCACGGCCACCCACTCGATTTGGTGATCACCCGGGGCCTCAGTGTCTCGGATGTCACTATTACCGACAAGGCCATCTCTGACCACTACTTCATCTCCTTCACCACCTCCACCCCCCTCCCCACCTCCACCAGACCCACCACCATCTTCTACCGCCCTTGGAAGAAGTTACCCCCACAATCCCTAACCGATGCCTTGGAGTCCTCTGAACTCCTCTCCCTCTGGCCTTCAACCCTCACCGACCCCTCTTCTCCTCTCTCCCTCCTCCACAATACCCTCTCCTCCACACTCGATACTCTTGCCCCCATCACTTCCCGCACTGTCTCCTACTCCCGCTCCTCCCCCTGGTACACCACCCACCTCCGCTCACTGAAAAGCCAGGTGCGGGCTGCTGAACGCACCTGTGCCAAATCTGGCCTAACGGTCCACCGACAAATCTGGCTGGACCTCCTCAAAATTTACCGCTCCACTCTAGCCTCGGCCAAGTCGTCCTTCTACTCCAGGATAATCCTGGAGGCGAAGAACAACCCCAGGCTACTGTTTTCCACCACAACCCGACTCCTCCGTCCCCCCCGCCACCCCGCGCAGGTCATCTCCTCCAACCTTCACTGCGAGGAGATGCTGGATTTCCTTGAATCCAAGATCAAGGGAATCCGCTCCGCGGTCACTTCCCCTCCAACTTCCACCCACCACCCACCCCTTCCCTCCCACACTCCGACTCCTACCCATCCTCCCCTACACACCTTCGTACCCGTTTCCCCACCCTCTGTCACTGAACTCATCCTATCCCTAAAACCAACCACCTGCTCCCTTGACCCCATCCCCACTCCACTCCTTATCTCCCAGCTCCACTTTCTTGCCCCACATATCACTGACATCATCAACCTGTCCCTCTCCTCTGGCTCTGTCCCCATTCCATTAAAAACTGCCATCATCACGCCCACCCTGAAAAAACCCTCCCTTGATGCGTCGCAGCTATCAAGCTACCGGCCCATCTCCAACCTCCCCTTTCTCTCCAAGGTCTTGGAAAGAGTTGTCGCCTCCCAACTGCGCTCTTTCCTTTCCACCCATTCTCTTTTCGAACCCCTTCAGTCAGGTTTCCGTGCTGCCCATAGCACAGAAACTGCCCTGGTCAAGGTCACCAATGATATCCTGACCATCTGTGACCAGGGCTCCCTCTGTCTCCTCGTCCTCCTCGACCTATCGGCAGCATTCGATACGGTCGACCACGCTATCCTACTCCACCGCTTGTCCTCCCACCTCAACCTTCAAGGCACTGTCCTTGAATGGTTTAGGTCGTACCTTTCTCACCGTCTTCACTTTGTCTCGACGAATGGCTTCTCCTCCACCCCCCGTACTGTCTCATGTGGTGTCCCTCAGGGCTCTGTCCTCGGTCCCCTCCTCTTCACCCTCTATATGCTCCCCCTTGGTGACATCATCCGCAGACATGGAGTTAACTTCCACATGTATGCGGATGACACCCAACTCTACCTTTCCTCCTCTACTCTCAACTCCACGACCACCGATGTCCTGACAGCTGCCTGTCCGACATCGAGTCCTGGACGAGAGACAACTTTCTTCAGCTCAACGTGCGAAAAACCGAGGCCCTCCTGATTGGCTCACGTCAGCGCCTCCGCACCTCAGGCGCTGACACCATCAGCATCCAAGGCTGCACTCTCCACCTCTCAAAGCCAGTCAGGAACCTCGGCGTTTTGTTCGACCCTGAGCTGTCCTTTCTCCCTCACATCCGCACCACAACTGGCACCGCCTTCCATCACCTCCGGAACATCGCCAGACTACGGCATTACCTCACCCCTCACGCTGCTGAAACCCTGGTTCACGCCTTTGTCACCTCAAGGCTGGACTATGGGAACTCTCTCCTCGCCGGCCTTCCCGCCACCTCCCTCCACAAGCTGCAGGTCATTCAGAACTCTGCAGCTCGTGTACTGTCCCGCACCAGGCTTCGCGACCACATCACTCCCACCCTCGCTCGCCTCCACTGGCTCCCCATCCCCCAGAGGATTGATTTCAAGATCCTCATCCTCACCTACAAGGCCATTCACGGCCTTGCTCCCTCCTACCTCTCCAACCTACTATCCCCCTACCTACCTGCCCGTACCCTCCGTTCCTCTGGCTCCGGTCTGCTCCACGTCCCCCGCCCCAACCGCCCTACCATCGGTGGTCGGGCCTTCAGCCTCTCAGCCCCAGGCTCTGGAACTCCATCCCCCAGTGCCTTCGCCGCTTCCTCCCTTTCCTCCTTCAAGGCCGGTCTCAAAACCTTTCTCTTTGACCGTGCCTTCAGCTCCCCTCTCGACTCTCTTCCCCCTCCTCGCTCCCTCCCTTCCCTCCCCTCACCCTGACCATTTCCCCCCTCCTTGCTCCCTCCCTTCCCTCACCCTGACCATTTCCCCCCTCCTCGCTCCCTCCCTTCCCTCCCCTCACCCTGACCAGTTCCCCCCTCCTCGCTCCCTCCCTTCCCTCCCCTCACCCTGACCATTTCCCCCCTGCTCGGGTCATGACCCAACTGTGCAGCGCCTTGGGACGTCCTCCTGACGTGAAAGGCGCTTTATAAATGGAATCTTGTTGTTGTTGTTATAGCATAAAGCTTTTTCTCAACCAACCTTTCCAGTAGCCCATTCATCCTTAATTACTTTCTGTGTAATCTAGTATCTGTATTGAAATTGTTGTTTGCAACCTTGAATCTGTCTTCTTGTTCTATTTCATTTGCATATCTGAAAGTATTGTTCTAGATTTAATTTCTCAATCCACTTAGAATTTTATATACCTCTAAGTTGTCTCTTTTCAAGGCTGAAGAAGCTTAACTAATCTAATCATTGCTTAATCATAGCCTCGGCCAATAGAAAAGTGTGGCCGCATTTTTTCCGTGGGATTTGCTCGAAAGAACACCCTTTCCTACAAACATGCTATTAAATGTAGTTTCAGGCCCGCAGGCCTTTTGCTGCTTACCTGACCTCACTGTGAGTGGGGTGGCTCCAGGCACGCATGTGCAGCGCAAGCAGGAAATGGGCTTCACTCAGAGGCCCGCTGGTGTGATTGTTTGTGTCCCTGTGTGTGTGTTTGTGTGAGTGTCTCTCTCTTTATGCGTTTATGTGAGTGTATATATGTGTGTATCTACGTGTTTGTCTCTATGTGAGTGCTTCTCTTTCTGTGTTTGTATCTATGTGTCTCTCTCTCTATATATGTTTGTGAGTGTCTGCGTAAGTGTGTCTCTCTCTGTATGTTTTTCCTTTCCAAGATCCTGGAACGAGACGTTGCTTCCCAGCTTTGTTCCTTCCTCTCCAGTCACTCACTTCACGATCCCCTCCAAATGGGTTTCCGTGCCACCCACAGCACAGAAACAGCTTTGGTCAATCTGCGACCAGGTATCCCTCTGAATCCTCGTCCTCCTTGACCATTCTTTCCTCTTCAACCACCTTTCTTCTCACCTCAACCTACATGGTTCTGTCCTTGACTGGTTCAGATCCAACTTCTCACACCGCCTTCACTTCATCTCCACAACGGCTTCTCCTCTAGCTCCCGCAACTCTCGTGCAGAGTTCCTCAGGGCTCTGTCCTTCGTCCCCTCTTTTTCAATATCTATATACTCCTCTTGGTGACATCATCCACAGACATGGGGTCAATTTCCACATGTATGCAGATGATACCCAACTCTATCTCTCTGCTTACAGTCAGGAACCTTAGTGGCTTGTTTGACCTTCAACTATCCTTTCTACCCTACATCGGTGCCATGTCCAGCTGTGCCTTCCCCCACCTCCACAATATCGCCCAGCTCCACCACTGTTTCACACCGCAGGCTGCTGAGACCCTCATACATGTATTCATAAAATCCAAGCTCGATTACGCAAACTCCCTGCTGGTCGACCTCCCCAACTCCTCACTCCCATAGATCATCCAGAACCCTGCAGTCCGTGTCCTCTCCCGCACCAAGCTCTGCGACCCTATCACCCCCATCCTCGCCCAACTCCACTGGCTTTCCATCACGCAGAGGATACAGTTCAAGATCCTAGTCCTCACTTTCAAATGCTCAGCGGTCTCTGGCCTGCTCCACATCCCCCACCAGCCCCATCATTGGCAGGACTTCTGCCATTCTTCCCCCACCCTCTGGAATCCCACCCTCGCCCTCTTCCTTGCCTGATTCAAGATCAAGACCCTCTTCTTCGACCGGGCCTTCGGTCACCCTCCTTCGTCCTCTGCCCTCCACACGCCCCGATCCCCAGCTCAGGTCTGAAACACTGATTGTCCAGTGCCTTGGACATCCTCCTGACATGAAAGGCGCTATACAAATGTAATTTTGTTGTTCATGAGTGCCTGTGTGAGCATTTCTCTTTCCTCTATATGTATTTGTGAATGTCTATCTCTCGTCTGTATGAGTGTTTTTGAGTGTGTCTCTCACCTCTCTATGTGTGTATACGTCCTGGGTCTATGAGTGCATGGATCTCTCTCTGAGAATGTGTGTGTCTCTGTGTCTGACTCTCTCTCTGGGTGCAGTGTTGGACCCTGAGAGGCAGGAGGTGGGGAGAGCGGGGGGGAGTGGGATTGAATAGCTCTTTTCAAAGAGCTGGCACAGACACGATGGGCTGAATGGTCTCCTTCTGTGCTCTATAAATCTATGATCCTGTAGCCTCGCTAGTGTCCCTGCCCCCAAAAAAGGCCACAAAGTTTATTAAAGAAGCAATCAATAATTTTTTTTTGCAACAATCTAATATGTATTTTTCCTCACGCTTAGTTTTTATTAATAAAGTGAAAAAATGTAGGTTGGCAGTAAAATAGCCCCTGCAATTTTCTGTCAAAAGCCCCCACAAATTTCCCAATTAGGAGCAGGAGTGGGCCATTCGGCCCCTCGAGCCTGCCCCGCCATTTGATAAGACCATGGCTGATCTTCTGACCTAACTCTAATTACCTGCTCTATCCCCTAATCCCTCTTTTTTTAAAAAAATCTATCAGTCTCAGCCTTGAAGATGTTCAAGGACTGAGCATCTACAGCCTTCTGGGGTAGTGAATTCCATAAGTTCACTACCCTCTGAGTGAAGAAACCAGGAGTCACAGTCTTAAAATTAAGGGTCAGCCTTTTAGAACAGAGTTGAAATTTCCTCAACTCTGTTCTAAAAGGATGACCCTTAATTTTAAGACTGTGACCCCTGGTTATAGATTCTCCTACCAGGGGAAACAGACCCTCAATGTCTACTTTATCAGCCCTTTAAGAATCTTATGTTTCAATAAGATCTCCCCTAATTCTTCTGCAATTCCCGGCAAATATTTCTGCACTTTTCTGTTGACCCAGATAATAGCTCATTCCTCTAAAAGTAGTGCCAAGATAGATCCTTGATGTTGTGGTAGCCAGAATTCTACGCAGTACTCTTGGAGCAGCCTGAGCAGTCTCAGTCTCTTTGCCATGACGTTTGAGAATCTGAAATCAATTGACTTGGAAATATAACCCAGCATCCTGTTTGTAAAGGCTTAGAAAACTGGAATTGATTTTAAAAGTTTCTAATTTCAATAAAGTACTATCTGCTAAGTCAAGACTGTTACTAAATACTTTTTCCTCAGTAAAGTGAATTGCCAAATGTTTTGATACAGACCTTTAGTATTTTTGTGACCATTGCTCAGAAATCGTCTTCTGAGTTTTTGATTCTCATTGAGCATTTTGGATATTACTCTAAAAACCTCATGTTTCTTGGCAGGCTATATTAAAAAGAATTTGAAAGATCACTTGGATTTGTTAAAACATATATTTCAAATAATAATCATCTAATCCTTTCTGCACAAGAATAATTCTTGAACACGGATTACAATATTCTAATACATGTTTAAGAGTAGTGATAATGGGGGACTTCAATTATCCTAACGAACTGGCAAAATAACAATGTAAAGGGCAAGGATGGGGAAGATTCATGAAATGTGTGCAGGATAACTTTCTGGATCATTATGTTTCCAGTCCAATGGGGAAGAAAGCAGTGCCGGATCTAGTTCTGGAGAATGAAGTGGGGCAAGTGGAGCAGGTTTCAGTAGGAGAGCATCTGGACAACAGTGATCATGGCATCATTAAGTTTAGAGAATTTATGGAAAGGGACAAGGTGCAATCAAAGGTGAAGATACTCAACTGGAAGAGGGCTAATTTCAATGAGTTAAAAAGGGACCCAGCTAAAGTGGATTGGAAAGAAAGATCGACAGGTAAAACAGCTAACAATCAATGGGAAGCCTTCAAGGAAGAGATATGTTTATCAACATATAAAGATTAAAAGGTTTGTCAAAGGTAGGGTGGGTCCAATTAGGGACCAAAGAGGAAATCTTTTTGTAGCGGCAAAGGGCATGGCTGACGTACTGAATGAGTACTTTGCATCTGTCTTCACAAAAGAGGATGCAGCCAATGCCAGTTTCGGGAGGGTAGAGAAATTGGATAAGAATAAGATAAGAATAGGATAAAGATAAGAATAAACCGAGAGGAGGTACTAAAAAGATTGTTGGTGCTCAAGGTAGATAAATCACCCAGTCCAGATGGGATGCATCCTAGATTACTGAGGGAAGTAAGAGTGGAAATAATGGAGGCTCTGACCATAATCTTTCAATCCTCCTTGGGCAGCGGGGTGGTGCCAGAATACTGGGGGGTTGCAAATGTTACTCCCCTGTACAAAAAAGGGCAGAAACATAAACCTGGGAACTACAAGCCAGTCAGCCTAACCTCAGTAGTGGGGAAATTTCTAGAGACTGTAATAAATTTTCACTTAGAAAAATAGGGGTTAATAAATAACAGCCAACACGGATTTGTTCAAGCAAATCATGTCTAACAAACCTGATAAGAGGTTTTTGATTAAGTAATGAAAAGATGGATGAAGGTAATAATAATCTTTGCATTTGATATAGCGCTTTTCACATCTTCTAGACGTCCCAAAGCGCTTCACAGAATATACTGTAAAGTGAATTGACTGTATATTTGTGGGCGAACGCAGCAGCCAATTGCACACAGCAATGTCCCACAAACAGTTGTAGATTGAAAATGACCAATTTATTATTGCTTTTGTTTTTGGAGGGATTATTATTAGGCTCTGTGTGGAGTAAGGAAACTTGCCCAAGGTTTCGCCCTCTGCCTGGAATTGAACTCAGGTCTCTCACTTGCAAAGCGAGTGCTCTAACCACTGAGCTACAGGACTCCACAGGTAGTGCAATTGATTGGCTCCCGTCAGCGCCTCCTCACCTCAGGCGCTGACAGTATCACCATCCATGGTTTCACACTCCACCTTGCTAAGCCAGTCTGGAACCTTGGAGTCTCGTTTGATCCTCAACTATCCTTTGTGCCCCACATCTACACCATGACCCGCTCTGCCTTCCCCCACCTATGCAACGCCGCCGGACTCCCAACACTGTCTCACACTGCAGGCTGCCGAAACCCTCATACGTGCCTTCATTACATCGAGGCTCGACTATGCAAACTCACTGCTTGTCAGCCTTCCCAACACCTCCTTCCACAGAGTGGCAGATCATCCAGAACTCCGCAGCCTATATACTCTCCCATACTAGGCTCCGTGGCCTTATCAACCCCATCCTTGCCCAACTCCACTGGCTTCCCATCACACAGAGGATACAGTTCAAGATCTTGGCCCTCACCTTCAAAGCTCTCCACAGTCTTGCTCCCCCGTACCTCTCCAACCTACTAACCCCCTACCACTCTGTTCACTCCCTCCGCTTAGCGGGCTCTGGCCTGCTTCATGTCCCCCGCCTTGCTCACCCCACCATTGGCTGGCGGCCTTTCCGCCACTCTGCACCCACCCACTGGAACTCCATCTCGTAGTCCCTCTGTCTCACCCCCTCCCTCGCCACCTTCAAGACCCTCCTCTTCAACTGTGCTTCCGATCTCCCTACTTCCCCCCCTGCCCTCCACCCTCCCCCACCCCAACTCAGGTTCATAACTGTCTGTCCAGCGCTTTGGGACGTCCTCTCAACATGAAAGGCGTTATACTAATGTAATTTTGTTGTTGTTGATGTAGTTTATACGGATTTTCAAAAGGCGTTTGATAAAGTGCCACATAAGAGACTTGTAAGCAAAACAGAATCCCACGATATTAACGGGACAGAGGCAGCGGATACAGAACTGACTGGGAGACAGAAAGCAGAGTTGTGGTGAACAGTTGTTTTTCTGACTGGAGGGAAGTGTGCAGTGGTGTCCCCCAGGGGTCAGTATTGGGACCACTGCTGTTTTTGATCTATATAAATGACCTGGACTTGGGTATAGGGAGTACAATTTCCAAGTTGCAGATGATACTAAGCTAGGAAAAGTAGTAAACAATGAGGAGGATAGTAGCAGACTGCAAGGGAACATAGACAGACTGGTAAAATAGGCAGACACGTGGCAGATGAAGTTTAATATGGAGAAATGTAAAGTGATGCATTTTGGGAGGATGACGAGAGACAATATAATAATCCTTGCATTTGATACAGCACTTTTCACATCTTCTCGACGTCAAAGTGCTTCACAGAATATACTGTAAAGTGAATTGACTGAATATTTGTGGGCGAAACGCAGCAGCCAATATCGCACAGCAGTGTCCCACAAACAGTTGTGGATTGAAAATGACCAATTTATTGTTTTGTTTTTTGGAGGGATTATTATTAGGCGTGTGGAGTAAGGAAACTTACACCAAGGTTTTGCCATGTCTGGAATTGAACTCAAGTCTCACGCTTGCAAAGCAAGTGTTCTAACCACTGAGCTACAAGACTCCACAATATAAGCTAGATACTAGGCTTTATAAATATGCTACGGGATACAAGGCTTTATAAGTAGGGAGCATAGAATACCAAAGTCAGGAAGCTATGATAAACCTTTGTAAAACACTGGATAAACCTCAGCTAGAGTGCTGTGTTCAGTTTTGCGCCCCACACTTTAAGAAGGATGCTAAGGCATTGGAAAGGTGCAAAGGAGATTTACAAGGATGGTACCAGAAATGAGGGACTTCAGTTATGAAGAGGCTAGAGAAGCTAGGGTTATTCTCCTTGTAGTAGAGAAGGTTAAGAGGAGACTTAATAGAAGTTTTCAAAATTATGAGGGGATCAGTGCCTTTGGGTAGTGCTGTTGATGTAGTTTATATGGATTTTGAAAAGGCATTTGATAAAGTGCCACCAAAAGACTTGTAAGCAAAATAGAAGCAGGTGGATCACCTCCAGAACATCGCCAGACTATGGCACTACCTCACCCCTCACGCTGCTGAAACTCTGGTCCACGCCTTTATCACCACAAGGCTGGACTATGGGAACTCTCTCCTCGCCGGCCTTCCCGGCACCTCCCTCCACACTGCAGGTCATTCAGAACTCTGCAGCTCGTGCACTGTCCCGCACCAGACTTCACGACCAAATCACTCCCACCCTCGCTCGCCTCCACCGGCTCCCCATCCCCCAGAGGATCAAATTCAAAATCCTCATCCTCACCTACAAGGCCATTCACGGCCTTGCTCCCTCCTACCTCTCCGACCTACTATCCCCCTACCTACCTGCCCGTACCCTCCGTTCCTCTGGCTCCGGTCTGCTCCATATCCCCCGCCCCAACCGCCCTACCATCGGTGGCCGGGCCTTCAGCCTCTCAGCCCCGAGACTCTGGAACTCCATCCCCCAGTGCCTTCGCCGCCTCCTCCCTTTCCTCCTTCAAGGCCGGTCTCAAGACCTTTCTCTTTGACCGTGCCTTCAGCTCCCCTCTCGACTCTCTACCCCCTCCTCGCTCCCTCCCTTCCCTCCCCTCACCCTGACCATTTCCCCCCTGCTCGGGTCCTGACCCAACTGTACAGCACCTTGGGACGTCCTCCCGACTTGAAAGGCGCTCAATAAATGGAATCTTGTTGTTGTTGTTGGATAGGTAACCTGAGTACACTGATTTAAATAGTTGTTAAAAAAACAGAGGGGAGGTGAGGAGAAATGTTTTCACACAGCGAGTTATTCGGATCTGGAATGCGTCACCTGATAGGGTGGTGGAAGCCGATTTGATAACAACTTTTAAGAGAGAAGCAGGGTCTATGGGGACAGAGCAGGGGTGTGGGAATGAATTGGATAGCTCTTTTCAAAGAGCAGGCAAAGAAAGACACGCTGGTCCAAATGGCCTCCTTCTGTGCTGTATAATTCTATGATTCTAATGCAAGGGCTTTGAGATTGCAAGAGTGGTGGAGCAGATTTCTACATAAACTTAATAATCATAATCCTTGCATTTGATATAGCACATTATCACGTCGTCAAGATGTCTCAAAACACTTTACAGGATATACTCTGAAGTGGATTGACTGTGTGTTTTGTGGGTGAAATGCATATCATGTTTTTGTGTAAATCAGCTGTACCAAAATATAGAAAAAATAAATACTCCATAATCATTTCACAGGATACTTGTACATGGGATATTTAATCATCTAGTAAACAAATGCCAATACATACCATGTCAGGCTTCTGTTTTTCAGCAACACTTTTCACAGGTAAGGGAAATTTAAAGACATCAGCATTTTCTGCAATGCATATAAATATATTATACATTAGCAACTAGGCTTTTGAAATATGATACTGTCTGTCTAAAATTAAGCAGAGATTATTATACTTTGTGTTCTGAATAAAACAAAATGAAGAATATTTAAGTTGGCTTGATTTGTTTATCATTCTACAAAGGCTATCACAGACACGGGAAGGCACTGAGGAGATTTGGAATGATACCAGAGATGAGAAGCTAGAATTGATATTTGAAATTATAATTATATTTTAATTATATATTATATTTTAATTTTAATTATATAAATTATAATATATTTGAAAGTTATAATTGAAATGTTGGGACTGTTTATAGAGATTAATTTGATGGAGCAAGTTTAAAATTACAGCACAAATAGTTTTGATAGGGTAGCTGAAAGGAGCCTATTTTGACATTAATAAGAGGGCATCAATTCAGAAATATCATAAGAATACTCTGGATTCTTGCTGTTAGGACAATGGGAAAAACTCCCTTCTCTCTTCAAAAAATGTCATGGGATCTTTTAACATCCACATAAACAGGCAGTCAGGACCTCGGTTTAACGTCTCATCCAAAGAACGGCACTTCCAACAATACAATGCTTCCCTGTAATATATGCAGCATCAGCCTGGATTGTGAATCCAAAGTCCCAATGTGGGACGAACCCACAACTTTATGACTGATAAGGCACAATACCAAATGCAAGGATTATAATAACATAATTATTAAAAATCATACCGTTGTTTTGAAGCAATTTTCTGGTGTCCACCTGTGCTGGTGGAGACTTTTGAATTGTAAGTTTGGGAGAGATGAAGGAGCTCTTCTTTGTGCGATTGCCAACTCTCAGCCCTGTTCTCTCTGTTTCTCCGCCAGAACTCGCACTTGGCCTTTTCGACGCCAGCGGATTCCTCTCCTCTACAGCCCGGTCCCCAAACCTGAGCACGGCGCCCGATGAGTGTTTGCCGAAGCGGTTGACGTAGACAGCGCTGAGCGCTTTCTTCTTGGTGGCCTTCACCATCGTGGCGGCTTCTGCCTTTTGCGCCATTTAAAATTATTTTGTGCTGACTTGGGGTTAGGAGAATCGAAAACCTAATCTCTCGCGCTGTCTCAGATGAAATACGTACTCTCTGCAGAACCGGGTAGTAGTTATAGGATCGCTAACTAGTAATTAAACAATTAAAAGCTGAATATCTCCCAGAAAGGCAACTACTTGGTCAAGAAGTGCCACGCGCCACGATCTGGCAGTCCGCAGCCCTCCATCTTTCCCGCCCAAACCCCGCGCTGCCATTGGTGAGTGTCAGGTCCCACGTGACCTCACCCGCGCCTCCGCCCCAGCGCGGCCGTCACGTGTTGGCTCGTGCTGGGTTTGAAGAAGGCGCGGGTGCAATGGCCGGTTGCTGTCGGCGTTATGTGGCCCAGATTGGGCTACTTTGGACGGGTTTCAGGCCAAATTGGGCGAATTTTGTTATACCACAGAAAAAAACTCGGATGTCTTTGGGCGGATGCCTGATTTTGGTGAGTTAAATTCTGCGAGGCTTTAGGCCTCCAGCCGCTGGGGGGCGACCTGGACCGGGAGCTGGAGTATTTTGTGTCCACTCTGGAGCTCTCTGGTTTCCTTGTCTGTTGTTTTGATCCAATCCTGGTCGCCCGGTGTCGTTTAAAACAACGGCGGGAAGTGAAGGAATCCCAATCCGGAGGCCCGGTCGCTGTTTGTGTGGATGCGAATTCAGGTCCAAAGCGTTGGCATTGTAATCTGGTAAGTGATTTTTTTGAGGTATTTTCATTGTTGCTTCTTAACACAATAAACCGGTCTCTTTTACAGTCGGAGCTGTGTTCGCCATTACGTTTGTTTCAAAGCATTCAAACAAATAAAACACATAGAAATAATAACCTCCTCCAAAGGTGTACCTGTCGGCCTGGCGCACGTGGTATTACTCTTTTTTTCCCCCAAATGTTGTGAATTGTGTTCTCTAACTGCAGAATGTTCGGGGGATTGTGAAACTTCGCTTAACAACATAGTTTATAGTTTTGATGAAGGGGAATTGCTTTAAATATTAACTCTTTTCTTAGATGCTGTTGACGGAGGGGGTTCATTCTGGTGCTTTACAGTGACTACCAAGGAATGTCAGCACAACTATTCATGGCCTACAGAACTCCAACCCCTCCCCTCTGCCCCCTCCCGGCTCTCCCCTCCCCCACTAGTTTAGCCCAAACAAAACTATTTTATAAAATATGTTTTTTTCCCAGAGGTCGAAGTGAGATGGCGGTGAGAATCTTTGTGGAAAAAGAAAATGACCTATTGAGCACCCATAAAATAAGCCGTCCAAAACTGCTTACTTCTTCCTGTAAGTAACTTTGATAGTATTAATCTGTTAGTTGACAAAAAACTAAAGGATATATTTGATTTGCAAGGCATTCAGCATTTTTTTTCTAAATGCAAGATATCCTGATCAAGACCACTCTTTACTTCTCTATTTAAGACATTAATTTGTACTGGATTGCAATTCTATATGTACCACGTGATCTGGTGGCCTGTTGTCCATCCAAATGAAAATTCTTTGTATGTGGAGTTTGCTCTAATTGAATTCAAACTTTGTGTAAAAATAAGTTAATTCTCTTGCTGCCATAATGTAACTTTTTTTAATATTTCAGCTCCTATCTTCTCAGAGAGATCTGTTCCACAGACTCCACAGCCCAATAAAGTGTTAAATGCTACTCCTGGCTTAAAGCAGTCTGCAAGGAAAGCTCTCGGCGACTTGAATTGTCCAGTGCGCGTGTCCACCAAAGCAAATGCCTCACAGAAAAATAAAACTATACACAAAGAGAAGAATAACTCATCGATCTTAAAAGCAGCCAAGGTATTTAAACTTAATTTTATACATAATTGGAGGACTTGAAATGACTTGTCCAGATCTAACAACTACTAGAAAGTTGAGAATTTTTTTCCTTTGATGTTTAGGTATGATTTCATCACTTCCCATTTCCTGTATTAGATGATTTTATAATGATAATCCAAGCACCTCATCACTACTGAGATAGTGTATCTCAGAATACACTATAAAGTGATTGGGCTATTTTGTGGGTGAAACGCGGTAGCCAATTGCACACTAACAGCCATTGAATAAGTTAACATTACTTTTTAAGGGATTATTACCCCTGGAAATGCGATCTGTTAATTGACTAACAACCAGGTTCCTACTTATCGCTAGGTGAACAGTTGATAAAATTGTAAACAACAACAAGATTAATAGTGCCTTTCACATTGGGAGTACGTCCCAAGGCACGGGGGAGGGAAAGGGTCGGGTCACCGATGGCATGGTTGAAGAGGATTTTAACATTGCTGTTCCATTTCTTCAGGGCTTGTCTTTTAGATTGACCGATGTAGTTGAATGAATGTTCAGTCCATTATCACATCAGGGTCAATTTCATGTACTATTTCAGAGCTGATATAATTTCTAATTGTATACTTCTAGCCCACAGAAATGGTGATCTCAGATGTATCACATATTCCTATTGAGATGTCTGAAGACTATCCTGAAATGGAAATCTTCATCCCTTACAATCCCCTCGGTAAGGTTGTTTTTTTAAAAAAGGAAAAGCAAGCCTATGGGTTGCAGGCCTAAACCAATGTATGATCACAATAGATCGGAAAACTATATTTGGAGATGCTTCAATAACCTTGTAATGTGGTAAACCAATATTAAGTACTGGCACCGAGTAAGTGATATATTCTAATATGAACCTTAAACTTGAAGGGATGTTTTAGGGAAAGTGGTGAGTTATTGGGTTACAACACATGATTCTATATGGACTGCATTGATGTTCTTAACTATATGGTCCTCATGTGGACACTTTGAGCAGGGACAGTGCAGTTTTTCTTCTGGAAAGTTTCTATAGCTTGTCTTGGTACTTTCTCTGCACCTTAAAAGAGAAGCATTAATCCATCTGTACAATGGGACACTCCTTGTACACTGTTTTTTTTCTTCCTGTCCCCATCACTAACAGCTTTCATTTCCTCTCGAGAAACGACAAGTTGAAACCTTCATGCTTAAGTATTTCTCTGAAAATTTGCAGAATTTGAAAATGTTAATGTACCCGAAGAACATCAGCTGGATTCCGCCTGCCTGGCAGGATTACCACTCTCTCTGCTTGAGAAAGAAGGGGAGCTAATAAATAACTTGCTAAACAAAATCACTTCACCTATGGAATGGCCTTCTCTTCCACAGGAATTCAGTAAGTAATTAAAATTATTTTGTGCTTTTCTGCACCTCTAGAGGGGAAAGGTGCCATCTTATCTTTGTTTAATTGGTTTCAGATTTTTTGGACTGGGACATGAATCCTGATTTATCCAATGGATTGACTGTGGAATTACCATCAATGGATTTTGAATTCTGAAGATGTTGCTTCAGATTTTTGTTTTATCCCATCTTTGTGAAATAGCTAGTGATTGTAGTCTTGATTTATTAATTGCACTAAATTTGGATTTACTATTTGTTCTTAATGCTTGTACAAACTTTTAATAAAGGATTGTTTGTGAATATAAAGTATTGTAGCATTTTTTTAAAAATCCCTGGGATGTGTGGGTACTAGAAGATATGGGCCAGACTTAGACTGGAAGGGGTTGTCTTCCATCTATCAAGTAGCAATACCTAATTAGTGAATTGAGTTGCATTAGCAGAACTAGCCATTCGTCAAGAACACCTCAGTGTGCTTTGCCTGTAGCTTTCATGGAGGAAGCAAACTAGATGGAAAATCATTGAAAGAAACATCCAATATAAATTTACAACAATATTGTTTTTTTTAACAATGAAGGTTTGTAAATACCAGTAACTTAACATCTATGTTTAGAATCATGTTTGACAGAAATTGTTCAATGTAGAATGGTCACAGTAAATTCTCACACTGGTGGTCACAGATTGCAATTACATTTTTAATTCTAAACCAGAAAAAAAGTTGTAAAATCTGGGTAAGACTGAGAAATGTCACAAAGACCATTAAATTCACTTCCAATACACTTTTGTATAATAATAGGTACTATTACTAATTAACCTTTAGAGCAGTTATCAAACAACAAAATTACATTTGTATAGTGCCTTTCAGGTCGGGAGAACATTGTGGAGTCCTGTAGCTCAGTGGTGAGAGCACTCGTCTTGCAAGCGAGACACCTGGGTTCAATTCCAGGCAGGGCAAAACCTTGGGCAAGTTTCCTTACTCCACACGCCTAATAATAAATTGGTCATTTTCAATCCACAACTGTTTGTGGGACACTGCTGTACGCAATTGGCTGCCCTGTTTTGCCCATAAATATACAGTCAATTCACTTTACCGAATATTCTGTGAAGCTCTTTGAAACGTCTAGAAGACGTGAAAAGCACTATCAAATGCAAGCATTATTTATTATTATCCCAAGGCACTGGACAGTCAGAGTATCAGAACTGAGCTGGGGGTCAGGATTGGGAAGCAGGGTGATCGAAAGCACGGTCGAAGAGGAGGGTCTTGAGATGGGTCTTGACAATATGACCCCATTGACCAAAACAAAATTACCTTTTTAACTTTGTTCAACCCTGAACAGTTTTCCCTTCCCATCTCAGTAATACTAAAATCGTATTCTGTGGAAATATTAATAATACTCTGCAAGATCATGCTCAAAATATTGGCCTATATCTTTTCCAGATATGTGCTGTGGATTTCCTATTTTTGTGGAAATATTTGATCATTGTACTTAACCTCTAACCTGCAATCCCATTCCAAAGTAAATTTAATTCATTTAAGTATGAACTCAGGATGAATTGCTTTAAGTGGCTGTCTGTTGCCCTGGTCTGTGAGTAGAAGATAATCAATCTACTCGCTATTTTTGCTTGAGGCTAAAATGTAGTTTAATGTTCAATTCTAATTTTGCTAATTAAACGACTATAAATATGAATGCAACACTTAAAATGTATTTTGCAGGTATTCATCTTATTTTCAGTTTCCCTACTTTCTGACTGATGTGTATGTAAACTACATTTAGCAAACTAACTTTGATTCTCCTGCAACGCTCAATTTCTTTCTGTGTCCCCAAGAACTGGCCATAGAGCACAGACTCTGATGCTGTACTGTTTGGGAACCTAGCTTAACAGTAGCTAATTTGTCTCCAGACATTTTTTCAAATGTACAATAGAAGATTAGCTGGTTGCTCATGTTCATCCACAAAATAGTGTTTTGAGATGTCCTGTTGGCGTGAAAGGTGCCTTACCAAATGTAAGTATTATACACGAATAAAAGTCAATTCACTTCATAGCCATTTGTTGGACAAGCGAGAGATCAGAGTTTAATTGCCGGGGGCAGAGCAAAACTTTGGGCAAGTTTCCTTATTCTACACGCCTTTGTTTACCTAGCAGTAAATAGGAATCCAGTTGGTAACTTCCACATGTATGCAGATGGCACACAATTGTACCTCTCTGCTTCCACCCTCGATTCCAGGACCACTGCTGTCGGACATCACGTCCTGGATGAGAGCAAACTTCCTGCAGACGAATGTCAACAAGACTAAGGCCCACCTGCTTGGCTCCTGTACATCTCCCTCCACGGATGCACTCTACATCTCACAGAGCCAATACAGAACCTCAGCGTCCTGTTCAATCCTCAACTGTCCTTCATATCCCACATCCATGCCATGACCCACTCTGTCTTTCCCCAACACTGCAACATCGCTCTGCATTCTCATATCGCAGGCCGCCGAGACCCTCTTACGTGTATCCATAACATCCAGGCTCAACTACGCAAACTTCCTGCTTAGCAACCTCCCCAGTTCCTCCCTCCAGATCATCCAGAACTCTGCACCCCGTGTCCTCTACCGCATCAGGCTCTGTGACCCTACAACCCCACCCGACTCCACTGACGTCCCATCGCATAGAGCATACAGATCAAGATCCTGGTCCTCGCCTTCAAAGCCCTCCATAGCCTTGCTCCCCCTTACATCTGTGACCTCTTAACCCCATACCAATTCTGCTCAGTGGGTTCCAGCCTGCTTCATGTCACCCGTCCCACCATTGGTGGGTGGGCCTCGGCTACTCTGCTTCCACCTCTGGAACTCCATCCCACAGTTCCTCTGCTTCGCCCCCTCCCTTGCCTCCTTCAAGACTCCTCTTTGACCATGCCTTTTGTCACCATTCTTTTCACCCTCCCCGATCCTGACACCCAACTCGGGTCTGAAACACCGATTGTCCAGTGCCTTTGGACACCTCCTGATGTGGAAGGCGCTATACAAATGTAATTTTGTAATTATTAGTTGATTGGTGGATTGCTTTTCCAGGGATAATAATTCCTTCAAAAAAATAAATTGGCCACTCAATCCACAACTGTTCGTGGGACACTGCTGTGCACAATTTGCTGCTGTGTTTCTACCACAAAATAGTTAATTCACATTACAGTATATTATGTGATGTGCCTTGAGACGTCATGAAGATGTGATAAGGAGCTATATCACACCAAGGATTATTTTTTATACAATAATTATATTTGTATAGCGCTTTCGCAGCGGGAGGACGTCCCAAGGCTCTGGACAGCTCGGGCTTCGGACCCAAGTGGGGATTGGGGTGGAGGGCTGTGGGGGGGGAGGGAGGGAGGGAGGCGGCTGAATGTGGAGTTGAAGAGCATTGTGCATCAATTGGCTGCTGTGTTCACCTATATTTTATTTAGAAAACCATATGGACTATGAGGCGTTTGGATGTGATGAGATGTTTGATACGATGTGTCGGTTGGGGTGAGATCTCGTTGGGTGAAGTGTCGCGCGATCTGTGAATTGACTAGTGTCACACGGCGCATGCGCTCCTTCTCTTTTTCGCAGGCGGCCATTGTGGTGGCGGCAGAAGGTAAGGGCAGAGAAAGCGGTTAAAATCCGACAACATCCTCTCTGCACAACCCGACCGCGGCCGAACAGCCCGGTGTGCAGATTAGGCGAACGATTGGCTCCGCAGCCGTATTAATATTTACCGAAACGGAGCGAAATGAATATAGATAAAGGATTGGAAGTGCAGCGGCGGGGCCTAAAGGCTCGGGTCTGATCTGGGACCAGTCGCGGGTCGAAATTAGTGCCAGAGGAATTATATAGTAAATACATTTATATATTGTTAACTGTATATTAAATATATACTGTGAAGTGACTCTTGTGGATGGACGTGCACTTAGTGTGTTAATTATTACTCAGTATATTAATGGAGCTCAGGTGGCTGCCTCCATTCCCGCCCCTTGTGCTTTGATGGAAGCCTTTGATTGCAAAACCAAGCTCTGGCTCCCCATCCCCCAGAGGATCGAGTTTAAGATCTCCGTCCTCACTTTTAAAGTCCTCCACAATCTTGCCTCTCCCTATCTGTGACTTGTTAAATCTTTACTAACCTGTCTTTTTCCTCTGCTCAGCGAGCACTGGTCTGCTCCATGTCTCCCATCCTGCTCGCTCCCTCCTCTGCCTCCTTCTAGGTCCATCCATCCTCTTCAACTGTGCCTTCTCATCCTCCATACTTCTTGGTTCCAACCCCCAGCTCGGATACAAACCTGTCAACTGTCCAGCACCTTGGGAATACATCCCAACATGGAAGGTGCTGTAATATTTGTTGTTGTTGTTCAACAGTTTACATGTTTAACTAATCTCTCCTCAGCCAAACATGAAGTTCAATCCCTATGTTACCTCTTCCCGGAGGAAGAACCGTAAGAGGCACTTCAATGCTCCATCTCACATCCGCAGGAAGATTATGTCCTCTCCACTGTCCAAGGAGCTGAGACAGAAATACAATGTTCGGTCTATGCCCATCCGAAAGGACGACGAGGTTCAGGTGCGTGTAGCGACCCTGCAGCCCTTTCTGTGGTGCTCTACAGAAGGCACGGTCAAAGAGGAAGATCTTGAAGGAGGCCAGGGAGAGGGCGAGGTGGAGGGACTGGGATGGAGTTCCAGAAGGTGGGGGCAGAGAGGATGAAGGCCCGCCTGCCAATGGTAGGGCAGGCAAGGTGAGGGACATGAAGCGAACAGGTTGGGAGAGGGTTAGAAGGTCACAGGTAGGGAGGAGTAAGGCTGTGGAGAGCTTTGAAGGTGAGAACTAGGATCTCAAACTGTATCTTCTGATGGGGGAGCCAGTGGAGTCAGGCGAGGATAGGGGTGATATGGCGCGGAGCATGGTGCTTGAGAGGACACGGGTTGCAGAGGTCTGGATGATCTGCAGCCTGTGGAGGGAGGAATTGGGGAGGCCGACAAACACAGTTTTGTGTATTCGAGCCTGGATGTGATGAATGCATAGATGAGGGTCTTGGCAGCCTACGATGAAGACAGTGGCAGAACCGGACAACTGGGGGTGGGGAAAGGCAGAGCTAGTCATGGCATCGATTTGGGGAATGAAGGGCCTGTTGAGTATCAAACAGGATGCCGAGGTTCCATATTGGCTCCATAAGGTGCAGAGTGCATCCATGATAGGTGATGCTGTCAGTGCCCGAAGAATGGAGGCGCTGACAGGAGCCAAGCAGGAATTGCCTCGGGCTTGTTTGAGGAAGTTTGCTCTCATCCAGGACTTGATGTCCGTCAGACAGTCTGAGAACAACAGTGATCCTGGAGTTGAGGGTGGAGGCGGAGAGGTAGAATTGGGTCTCCTGCATACATGTGGAAGTTGACCCCATGTCTATGGATGATGTCACCAAGGGGGAAGTATGTAGATATTGAAAAGAAGGGGACCAAGGACAGAGCTCTGAGATACGTCACGGTGTGCGGGGGCTGGAGGAGAAGGCATTAGTGGAGATGGTGGGAGACGTAAGATTTGAACAAGGCAAGGGCAGGTCTGTGAAGGATGAGCTGAGAGGAGGTGGTGAAGGATAGAATGGTTGACAGTTTCAAAGCAGCAGAGATTGAGGAGGACAAGAAGGCAGAGAGAACCCTGATCACCGATAGTCAAGAATGTCATTAGTGACTTTGACTAGGGCTGTTTACATGCCATGGGCAGCGCAGGAAACCGATCGGAGAGCTTCATAGAGGGAATGGCGGGAGAGGAAAGAGGATGGGATGCGACGACTCATCCCGACGGAGGAGTTAAGGGAGATGAAGTGATCTAAAATGCGTTTGTTGGTGATGTCTTAGATTGCGAGGTGTCCGGTGATCACCAGATCAAGGGGGTGGACGTGGGTGGCAGAGTTGATGTAGAGGAAGAAGTTGTGGGAGGAGAAGTCAGCAGAAGTAGAGCAGGAGGGTGTGAAGTGGAGGTTGAATTCACCTAGGATGAGGAGACTTTTGGAGCAGAGGGAAAGGGAAGATAGTAAGGGTGGAAATGTCTGAGGATGGTGGGGGAGGGGTGATAAAGAGGATTTTGAAGGAAAGGTTGGAGGGATGATAAGGTGCTCGAAGGAGGGGAAGGAAGCTAAATTGTAGACTTGTCTTCTGGTCCAGCAAACTGGATTTTCAGGCTGATCCTAACATTTAAATTCTAAATACTGATCCTAACATTTAAAATAAATTAACTAATTGAAAACAAATCCTCTCTAGCATTTAAAATAAATTTTAAATAAATAAAATAGACAAAAAAACAATAGTTCTGTACTCACCACTGTGCAACTCCATTGATGCCCATCTCTAAACCAATCAGTGTTGAGCTGTGGGCATCACATGGGCTGGAGAGGGTTTGAAAACGCAGGGTGGATTTTTACCACATGGAATATTTTCAGACCCGGTCTGGCTAACTCCAAGTTCCAGATGCATAGGGTCTACAGCTTGACAATGATAGCTGGGGTGGGGGGGGAGGGGGTAGTGTATTAAACATACAGTTCTTTGAATAGGTTCATGTTTGGCTGATCGTACTCGTGAGAATGTTCTGCGTGGCTGTAGCAATCCCTGAGCCATTTAAACATCCTATTTCACATGTGGATTACATGCTGCCAATCTTTTGCAAAGTGTGATTTCATACAGCATGTAGTTACTACAACAACATCAACAACTGCTTGCATTTATATATTTATATAGCCCCTTCATGCAGGGTAGTGTTCCAGAGCGCTTTGTTTACTAATTCCTAAACATTAAGGATTCTTGTTATAGAGCAGCAAAGCAAAATGTATGCTAGTATGGTGATAGAAATCGTATGGCTATCTCCTCAGAAAATAATAGGAAATTTTAAAATCTTAAAGTTGCTGATTTTATTTTTATTATGTATTTTGATAGTAGTATTTTATGTTTACTACCCCTTAAAGCTAGGCATTACCTTAATATGAACAAACCAGCTTTTTTTATAGACTAGACATTATCCACTTACAGTTTCTGGCAATAACATATCTTACTATATATATTTTGCATAGGTTGTCAGGGGACATTACAAGGGACAGCAGATTGGCAAAGTGGTCCAAGTTTACAGAAAGAAATATGTAATCTACATTGAACGGGTCCAGCGTGAAAAGGCCAACGGCACCACAGTTCATGTCGGCATTCATCCCAGCAAGGTAGGAACTCGTACAGAATTGGTGCAGAATCTGCAGTTCGTGTTATGCATATTGAGCAAAGATAAATAGTTTCAACTAAATTGTGTGCAGTATTGTGGTGGTGTGGGAAGGAAGAATCAAAACCGTTGACCTAAGTTGCATATCATTCCAAGTTGCATGCTCATCACAATAACAATTTGCATTTATATAGTGCTCCTCATGCCAGATAGCGTCCCAGATCACACAAGTGAAACACTTGTTTATTTACTTTGCAAATGTGGCAGCTTTGTAACATTCTTGGTAGCTTGTGTAAAACAACAACAAATGACATTTGTATAGCGTCTTTCACGTCAGGAAGATGTCCCAAGGCACTGTACAGTCAGGGATCTGCTCCTGAGCTGGTGGTTTGGATTAGGAGGGTGACCAAAAGCATGGTCGAAGCGGAGGGTCTTGAGTGCATCCATGAAGTGTGATGCTGTCAGTGCCCGAGGTATGGAGGCAACTGACGGGGCCAAGCAGGAGGGCAATGGCATTCAACTGGAAAACTTGTATCAACACTGATTCTACATTTTAAGCTTTTCATTAGTTTTGTGCTTCAATATTCAATCCTTTATTTGTCTTTATTTTAAATGAATTGATTGTGGATCAAATGCATAATTATCGCTGAGGTTCAGTTTGTAGCCTCCTGGATAGGGTAGAGTGGTGAGCAAAGTCTCCTTGGGGCTGAGCTGGTTTCAAGATGATGTGCTTGGCAGTGTGATATCACAATCCAGTTGATCCTCTGGTGTTTTAGTAATTTGGTTCCTGGGCTAGGCAGGTCTGCAGTACTTCAAGACACTGCTGATGACAGACCAGCCAGCCTGGTTCATCTGCAGGGACTTGTACGGGCAAATCAGTCACTGGGTGCAGGTATTTTTCCTACTTTATTTTGTTAACTCTGGATACAAACACCGCAACGGGTAACATGGTCATCCCAAGACGAACCACAGAAAGCACGTGTCCATCAGTACCTGTGTAAGATGGTTTTCACCTTACAATTACAATTATGCCAAAAGAAGCAAACAGATTGTCTCAAGATATTGCTAGATTTAACCCAATTGCCCCATTTAAGATCATATATTTATCACCATAATATTTATGGGAATTGAAATTAAATGTAACTTTAGCGCAATTTCAAAAGTATAATGTAGTAATTATTGTTCCATGTTGCATTCTTTCCCCCCCCCGCCGCCCCACTCCATTGGCTATTCACTGAATCTAAATTCAAAATATTTTGTATATCTTTTTATGTAGCCAAATGTACTGCAGAAGTTTTTTGTTATTACTGTTAATATCTTGTGTTGTATCTATAGATTTAATGTTGATTGTTCTGTTCATATACAAATTTCACACATTAGTGTTAGCTCTACGTTACTCATTATCAGTACAATACATAAAAGCTGTGTTCTGCTTGACCCACAATTTGTGTTGCCTTATGTATATGAAAAAAATATTAAAGGCTACATATAATCTCTTACAGGTGGTTATCACCAGGCTAAAGCTGGACAAGGATCGCAAGAAGATCCTGGAACGCAAGGCCAAATCTCGCCAAGTTGGCAAGGACAAGGGCAAATACAAGGAAGAAACCATTGAAAAGATGCAGGAGTAAACTATTTGTTGCACATTTGCTACTTTTAATAAAGACTCAAAAGAAATTAGCCTACATTTTTTAGTGAATCTGCTTTTCAATAATTATATAATATTTCCACACATAGAGAAGTAAGCATGTTCTATTAAAAAAACAAATGCTTCATTGCACTTATTTTTCCAGTGGCTGACTGTGAGCTAATGCTGTATTTGAAAAATGTGACCTTATTCTCTGCTGAGTATCTTGACACAGGGAAACCTCTCGCCATCCTTGAGATCATGGAACATCAAAAATCTGCAGTGTTTCAATGCCACATACCCCCTAATCCCTCTCTTTCATATGCGTATACAGACAGTATAAATAAGTGTATAGTATTCTACCTCCAGCATGCCACTTGATCAGAGAATAGAGTGTGAATTCTCACTGGAGGAACATGTCCTGCCTACCTAATTCTAATGGGCTGGATACAAATATACAGTCAATTCACTTTACAGCATATTCTGTGAGGGGCTTTGAGACGTCTGGAAGATGTGAAAAGCGCTATATCAAATGCAAGGATTATTATATAGGCACAGGTTGGTGAAAGCCAATGTTGAGGAAACACAGTGTGTGTTGGGATACTGCTGGAGGTAAACCAGCTAAAACTAATGGCTTGCCATTATGAATTGATCTGGCCTGAAGAGTGCAGGTATACATTTTTGGAAATTGATCAACCAAACAGTTCATGAATTTGCACTTTTTTTACATATTTATTGGACAAAGCTTTTAAACTACAATACTGTAACAATAAGTTACACTCATTGGACAAGATAATGCAGTTTTCACTGAAATTCCAGTGAGTGGTTTTCTCACCTTCCAGAAACATTCCCATGATTCTGCTGGGGTCCAGTTCATTGCTACCTCACCAAAGTGGCTATTCATGTGTGTGTTTTTTTTGCAGTGAAACCCATTTGGTGATTTAATTTTGGAGCATCACAGCCAAGCCTGGTCCTGTCTGCACTTGATGTTCGCACACTTATCTCCAGCAGGTCTCACATGATAGTTGGGAGCTGTAACCCTGCCGATTTATTTCCACCTCTAACTCTCCGTAGGACTGGTATGAGCCCTTTGGACTCTACCAGACTAATTCAGGTACTTATTGGATTGATCTTATGCAAGTTTTAAGATGGGAGTGATATTTGTTTTTTTTCAATCAAGATATGGTGTTTGGTGCCGATCAGCAAAAACACCTCATGGTCACAACTTTGTCAGGAATTTATCATTTTAGATGTGATCTTGTATAATCCAACACAAATTTACATTTACACTGCAGTCCCTTTCACATCTTATGCTTTGAAGTCCTACTTCATCCTGGTAGAGCGAGTCGGTTCCTGCTTGTATCCAGCTTTATGCGAAGTCAAGTAAGTACCATTTAAGGAAGGGTTTTGATCATAATCAACTTGTGTTTTAAATGCTGATGAAAGATTAGATGTTAAATTTTAGAACTTAGCTTCTGATTTTCTCTGCTGTAGACGGTAACCATTTTCCATCCACTCCGTTATATTTAAGTTCACTGAATGCTATGGTCTCCACATCATTTACGTGGCGATCATTACGTTTCAGTGAACTTCCCCCTTTTTCTAAATCAATGTATTAATTTCATACAATGTTTAACAACAACAAATTACACTTGTATAGTGCTCTTCACGTCAGAAAGACGTCCTAGGGCGCTGGACAATTGGGTTTTGGACCTGAATTGGGGTCAAAAGGGGAGGACAGTGGGGGTGGGAGAGTCGCCAAAGGACAGTCGAAGAGGAAGGTTTTCAGATGGCACTTGAAGGAGGCAAGACGGGGTGAAGCGGAAGGATTGGGGGTAGACTTCCAGAGTGTGGGGGCAGAGATGCTGAATGCCTGATCCCCAATGATAATGTGGGGGACCTGAAGCAGACCGGTGTCCACCGAGCAGAGGGAGCGGACAGGCTGATACAGGATTAGGAGATCGGAGAGGTAGAGGAGATCAAGACCGTGGAGGGCCTTGATAGTAAGAACGATGGTTTTGTACTCTATTCTCAGGAATGGGGATCAGCGGCCTGCAGTGAGAGACCGTGGCGGAGGTGGGCAATGTTGCGGGGGTGCGGAAAGGCGGAACGGGTCATGGCACAAATGTGGGGTTTGAAGGATAGCTGAGGGTTGAAAAGGACGCCGAGGTTTTGGATTGGTGAGGTGAAGAATGGCAATAGTGTCAGAGGCTGAGGTGAGGCGGCACTGCCAGGAGCCAAGCAGGAGGGCCTCTGTCTTGCCAATATTGAGCTAGAGGAAGTTGGCTCTCATCCACAACTTGATGTCAGACAGACAATTAGCCAGGACATCAAAGGTCCTAGAGTTGAGGGTGGAGGCAGTGAGATAGAGTTGGGTGTCATCCACATACACATGAAATTGACTCCATTGCCTGCAAATGACATTGCTGATTAGGAACATGTATAGATTGAAGAGGAGGGGACTGAGGACAGAGCCCTGAGGCACACCACACATGACAGTGTGATCAGAAAAGCAGGAAGTAGAGTCCGTATGGGTAGACGTACGTAACAACAAGAGGCAGAAAACTCTAGTGGGAGTAGTTTATAGACCCCAAACAGCAGTCACAGTATCTCTCATGGTATAAATCAGGAAATCAGGAAATTAGCGGAGCATGTAGCAAAGGAAAAACATTAATTGTGGGTGATTTTAATCTGCATATAGATTGGGACAACCAAATTGGGAAAAATAAGATAAAGGAAGAGTTTATAGAATGTATAAAGGGTAATTATCTAGATCAGTATGCCGAGGAACCAACCAGGGAACAGGCCATATTAGATCTTGTTTTGTGTAATGAAGCAGGGCTGATCAGCAAACTGGAAATTAAGGCTGCTCTAGGGCAAAGTGATCATAATATGGTGGAATTTAGCATTAAGTTAGAGAGAGAAGTCCGAAGCAAAGGTCTTAAATTTAAGTAGAGCCAACTTTGCTGGTATGAGAGAGGATTTAGCCAAAATAAACTGGGAAATTAGACTTAAGGATTTGACAGTAGACCAGCAATGGCAGACGTTTAAGGAGATAGTGCAAAATTCCCAGCGAGCACGTATTCCTTTGAGGAATAAGAATGCCATGCGAAAGGTGGCTCAACCGTGGCTAACAAGAGCAGTTAGGGAAAGTATAAAGTTAAAGGAAGAAGCCTATAAAACAGCTAAGATGAGTAGTAAACCCAAGGATTGGGAGAACTTTAGGGATCAACAAAGAACTAAAAAAGTGATTAAGAGGGAGAAAATGGAATATGAAGGCAAACTAGCGAAGAACATAAAGACAGACTGCAAGAGTTTTTACAAATATATAAATAGGAAGAGGCTGTCAAAAGTAAATGTGGGTCCACTACAGGCAGAGATGGGGGGAATTGTAGGGGACAAAGACATGGCAGAGTCATTAAACAAGTACTTTGTTACTGTCTTCACCTTAGAAGACACTGAAAACCTACCAAGAATAGAGGGGAACCAAGAAGGCAATGTTAGCGAGCAACTTGGGGAAATTAATATTAGTAAAGAAATGTTTCAGGTAATTTGTCAGGTCTTAAAACTGATAAATCCCCTGGACCTGATGGCCTACATCCTAGGGTTTTAAAAGAGGTGGCTACTGAGATAGTGGATGGCTTGTCTTTGATCTTCCAAAATTCTCTGGATTCTGGAACGGTTCACATTGATTGGAAGATTGCAAATGTAACGCCACTATTTAAGAAGGGTGGGAGAGAAAAGATGGGAACTATAGACCAGTTAGTCTGACATCAGTTGTAGGGAAAATTCTTGAGTCCTTAATTAAAAATGTTGTTATGGGATTCCTGGAAGACTATAACAAGATTAGGCAGAGTCAACATGGCTTTACAAAAGGGTTTTACAACATGGCTTTATCAAACATGCTTAACTAAACGTTTAGAGTTTTTTGAAGATGTATCGAACAGGTTAGATAGGGGGAACCAGTAGATGTAGTATATTTAGATTTTAAGAAGGCATTTGACAAAGTGCCACACAAAAGGCTATTGCACAAGGTTAAGGCCCACGGGATTAATGGGAACATATTAGCATGGATTGAAGAGTGGCTAACGGGTAGAAAACAGAGAGTAGGGATAAACGGGTCATTCTCGAATTGGCAGGATGTGACTAGTGGAGTGCCACAAGGATCAGTGCTTGGGCCTCAGCTATTTACAATTTACATCAATGATCCAGACGAGGACATTGAATGTCACGTATCTAAATTCGCGGATGACACTAAATTCGGTGGGAGAGTAAGCTCTGAGGATGAAGCAAAAAGATTGCAACGGGATATAGATAGGCTAGGGGAGTGGGCGAGTAGGTGGCAGATGGAATTTAATGTGGGGAAGTGTGAAGCTATTCACCTAGGTAGAAAAAATAGAAAAACAGATTATTTTCTAGAGGGGGAGAGATTAGATAGTGTTAGTGTTCAGCGGGATTTGGGTATCCTTGTACACCAGTCTCAAAAAGTTAGTTTGCAAGTGCAGCAGCAACTAAGAAGGCGAACGGCATGTTAGCGTTCATTGCAAAAGGTTTAGAGTACAAGAGTAGGGAAGTCTTGCTGCAACTGTATAGGGCCTTGGTGAGACCGCACCTAGAGTATTGTGTGCAGTTTTGGTCTCCTTATTTAAAAAAGGACATACTTGCCTTAGAGGGGGTGCAGTGTAGATTCACTAGGTTAGTTCGGGACCACATCACTCCCACCCTCGCTCGCCTCCACTGGCTCCCCATCCCCCAGAGGATTGATTTCAAGATCCTCATCCTCACCTACAAGGCCATTCACGGCCTTGCTCCCTCCTACCTCTCCGACCTACTGTCCCCCTACCTACCTGCCCGTACCCTCCGTTCCTCTGGCTCCGGTCTCCTCCACATCCGCCGCCCTACCATCGGTCACCGGGCCTTCAGCCTCTCAGCCCCTAGGTTCTGGAACTCTATCCCCCAGTGCCTTCGCCGCCTCCTCCCTTTCCTCCTTCAAGGCCGGTCTCAAGACCTTTCTCTTTGACCGTGCCTTCAGCTCCCCTCTTGACTCTCTACCTCCTCCTCGCACCCTCCCTTTCCTCACCATGACCATTTCCCCCCGCTCGGGTCCTGACCCAACTGTACAGCGCCTTGGGACGTCCTCCCGACGTGAAGGCACTCTATAAATGGAATCTTCTTGTTGTTGTAGTTCCTGGGATGAGAGGACTGACCTCTGAGGATAGGCTGAATAAACTAGAGCTGTATTCTCAAGAGTACAGAAGAATTAGGGGAGATCTTATCGAAACATATAAGATTCTTAAAGGGCTGGATAAAGTAGATACTGAGGGACTGTTTCCCCTGGTGGGAGAATCTATAACCAGGAGTCACAGTCTGAAAATTAAGGGTCAGCCTTTTAGAACAGAGTTGAGGAAACATTTCTTCACTCAGAGGGTGGTGAATTTATGGAATTCATTACCCCAGAAGGCTGTAAATGCTCAGTCCTTGAACATCTTCAAGGCTGAGACTGATAGATTTTTAAAAAAAAGAGGGATTAGTAGATATGGGGATAGGGCAGGTAATTAGAGTTAGGTCAGAAGATCAGCCATGGTCTTATCAAATGGTGGGGCAGGTTCGAGGGGCTGAATGGCCTACTCCTGCTCCTAATTCTTATGTTCTTATAGTGCAGACATTGGAAAAGGTAGGTTTGGGATCACGCAAGAACCGAGCCATTGAGCTGGAGGTGAGAGGAGAGGCGGAGGAAAAGAATAGAGTGGCCAACAATATCAAAAGCGGTCGAGAAGGACCAGGAGACAGAAAGCCATGGTCGCAGGTGAACAGAATGCAATTTGTCACTTTGATCCAGGCTGTCTCTATTCTGTGAGCAGCGTGAAACCCAGATTGGAGGCGTTCGTGGAGGGAATACTGGAAGAGGAAAGTGCGAAGCTGGGAAGCGATGACTCATCCCATGACCTTTGATCTCCAAAAAACAAAGCAATAATAAAATTGGTCATTTTCAATCCATGACTGTTTGTGGGACATTGCTATGCGCAATTGGCTGCCGCGTTCGCCCACAAATATACAGTCAATTCACTTTACAGTATATTCTGTGAAGTGCTTTGGGATGTCTAGATGATGTGAAAAGCGCTATATCAAATGCAAGGATTATTATTATATTTGATAGAAAAGGAAGGTTTGAAATGGGCAGTAGTTTGAGAGCAGAGATAAATAATAATACTTGCATTTGATATAGTGCTTTTCACGTCTTCTAGACGTCTCAAAGCACTTCACAGAATATACTGTAAAGTGAATTGACTGTATATTTGTGGGCGAAACGCAGCAGCCAATTGGGCACAGCAGTGTCCCACAAACAGTTGTTGATTGAAAATGACCAATTTATTATTGTTTGGTTTTGGAGGGATTATTATTAGGTGTGTGGAGTAAGGAAACTTGCCCAAGGTTTCGCCCTGCCTGGAATTGAACCCAGGTGTTTCGCTTGCAAGGCGAGTACTCTAACCACTGAGCTACAGGACCCAGATGGGTCATGCAAAGGTTTTTTGAAGGTAGGGGTGATGACGGCTGTCTTTAGGGGGATGGGTACTGTGCCAGTAGACAGGGAGAGATTAATAAGGTCTGTTAGTAGGGGGCAAGAAGGTGGAGCTGGGAGGTGAGGAAAGGGATAGGGATGGATTCAAGGGAGCAGGTGATGAGTTTCATTGGCGAAATGATGGAGGTGAGTGAAGAGGGGGAGACATGGTCAAAAATGTGTTGGGGGAATGGGGGGCAATAGGAAGGGAAGTGTGAGGTGGGGACTGGGTGCCAGTAGAGGGCTAGAGGCGGCAGAGCGGATCGCCTCGACTTTGGACTCAAGGAAATCCATCATCTCCTTGCATTTGATGTTGGAGGAGAGGATTGCAGAGGCATAGGAGGGTGGACGGAGGAGTTGGGTTATGGTAGAAAAGAAGAGTCTGGAGTTGTACTTAGCTTCCAAGATTTTTTTGGAATAAAAGGATGACTTAGCTGAGGGTGGGTCCAGGTGGGAAGAACGGTAGGAGAATAGGAGCGAGCAGTAGTGACAGATAGGGGACAGGAGAGGGGGCAAGTTGGGGGATGGTAGCTCAGGTCAGAGGCAGCAGCCAGATGCACATGCCGAGACTGAGAGCGACCAATGAGTCAAGGGGGCATGGTCAGCCCACGGACATGGGATGAGGGGGCTGGAGGAGGCAGTATAGATGAGGGAGGATAGCACTTATGCCTGCACCAGAGAATAGAAGGGTTAATGAACTGGGTGGGAAAGGAGGGATAAGGATGGTAACAGACTAAATGCAATACTTAGCTTGTATGAATTTGGAAAGAAATCCCTTCTGTGTTCTTAAACGTATGGTATCAGCAGACTCTAAACTGGTATAAATTTCCCTCAATGATTCAAAATATTTAGAGAGAGATTCCTACCAATGCCTAAGATGATATCAAATATAATTTGTGTTGCATCATAGTGTCTCCTATTTACAAAAATGTACTATTATGACCATCTCCATTATTGCAAACCTATCCTGTAAAGATCTGCCTTATTTAGTTTGTCCAGAATGCTGGTTAAAACTCTATAGTTTACATATCTATGTATTATGTTGTAAAATTGGAGTTGGGGTACAGATTGGCCATTATCTAATAGAATGGCAGAACAAGTTTGAGGGGCTGAATGGTCTATTTCTGTTCCTTTGAGACCCCTGATATCAACTGTGCTCCAAAAAGAATCGTTTATTTCTGGTTACCTGCTTTTTATTCCACCCTCCAATTTTACTTTGTGTTAAGAATTTTGAGTTGTAGAAAATGAAATGTTTTCCCAACTTTTGCTCTTCTCAGGTTATCATCCTGCCCTGTCAGGTGTGAGAGAGGCATTGGGTGAATCAAAACAATATCAAACAATGCCTCACAATATGTGGTCCTACACCTCTACCTCACCCTATCCTATTGTACTAGGAGCTGAAATCAAACTTAATTTGTGACCTTGTATTCTATTATCTTCTATTTGGACTATAATTATGCCCATCTCCGGGATCACAAATCTATCCTGTAAAGATCTGCATTATCAATTAATTAGTTTGTCCAGAACTCTGGTTAAAATCATGGAGTCCTGTAGCTCAGTGGTTAGAGCACTCGTTTTGCAAGTGAGAGACCTGAGTTCAATTCCAGGCAGAGGGCGAAACCTTGGGCAAGTTTCCTTACTCCACACAGAGCCTAATATTAATCCCACCAAAAACAATAATAAATTGGTCATTTTCAATCCACGACTGTTTGTGGGACATTGCTGTGCGCAATTGGCTGCCGCGTTCGCCCACAAATATACAGTCAATTCACTTTACAGTGTGTTCTGTGAAGCGCTTTGGGACGTCCTCCCGACGTGAAAAGCGCTATATCAAATGCAAGGATTATTATTATGCACTATATATACATACTATACAGTCAATCTACTTCATAATATGTTCCGTGATGCAATATATTCTGTTGGGCTGTCTCACCAATGTGATAAGATGCAATATCAAATGCAATTATTATTATTACTACACTGTTTACATAACTTTATGTAGTGAGATCCTTGTAAAACTTTGCACATCAACTGTGCTAACACTGGTAAAATTAAGGTGTTAACTGCTCCAAGTGAAATTCAACAATCGCGTATACAAAGCAGAAGAAAACAAATCTGCTCAAACAAGAGTTTAGATCTACAATTACAGCAGCAACAACACTGGACACAATTTTATACAGCGATGAGAGAAACAAGAATTACATGATTATGAGTGCTTTTAGCTAGAAACTTAACACCCGTAGCACAAATGTTCATTTCATAGTGACCTTACCCACAAATGTAATGCTTCTAGGGCCTCCAGTGCAAAGCAAGACAGTGCAGGGAAATCAAGCAACATGGAAAGGATGATGTTAATCCCACCAGCACAGGGCAAACCAAGTAGACTTTTTTTTGGCCTGAATCAAGTACACAGCCTCTTCAGTTGTCTCCGTCTCCCTTTTTCCTCTGCTGGCATCGCTCTCCCATCAGCTGCTCCCTTCTCTCAGTCTCTCCTCAAATGTAAAAATATCCACCTGGCTTCAATAAGTCTCCTGTGTCGGTTGCATCACCTCTGTATGGGGCGCACGAGCCTGCACCTTCCTGTGTTTAGTGCATCAAGTTACACTGTGCATCAATGGTAGGTAGAATTGGATACAGTTCAGCGTAAAATGGCATTTTACCTCCAGCAGAATGAAACTAATGAAAACGGTAATGTAAGAATAAGGTTTTATTTCGATAGGATGTGTTTCGGTCTTTTTATCACTGTCTTGCTGCTAAGCCTTAACAGGAGCGTTTAAAGCTGCGTTGTTGTTTTCTGGAGAGAGCATCTGGGCAGATGTTGGTGGTTCCTCCAGATGTTCGATATCGCTGTCTGAATTCTCTTGGGCTTTGTCTCGGCGTATCACCTTGTAGATGAGTTTGGAGGAGCCCTGGCGGCTGAGAGGTGGTCTGATGGTGGTGAGTTCATCCTCTGTGAGCAGGGGAGACGCCATACCGGCCAGCCCGTCCGAGGGGGATCTGCGCCTGTGTAGGACATAGGCACCTCCCATGTGCTCTTCCTTCCTGACTGTCTCCACTTGCTTATGATGGGAAGAGGTTTTCCGAGCGCCCATGTCCGATTGGCACTTGCGATGGTGCGTGTCTTTCCCCAGTTTGCAGTCTTCATCATCTGTGTTCTCATCATCCGCCTCTATCGTCCCCTCGTAGTTGTCTCCCAGCCTGGCCAAGCATTGCGATCGCTTTTGAGAGTGACTCTCACTATCCCTGTGAGCGCATTCACACTGGACCCCGCAAACCCTGTCTCTCCTCCTGGATTCACTTCGGGAATGTCTGGATCCTCCTTTTCCCTTCTTGGGGCACAGCTGTGTGTTCCCTTTCTCGTCGCCCGCTTTGGAGGCTTGCAGGACCTTGAGGAAGGTGGTGTAATCGGTGGAGAGGTTGGGCACAGAGCAGAAGACCTGTTGGTAATCCAGGTAGGAGGTGTGTTTCAGCAGCTTGTCTGACAGGGCTTTGGCTGTCAGCAGAGTCCTCTGTGCATGATCTGTCACATCACTGGCGAAAGAGAGGACCTCTTCTGAGTATTTAAACGCTAGCTGTGCTTTGTTCTCACTCTCTCTTGCCTTCTGAGCCGTAGACGCAGCCGTGGTGACTAAATCAACCAAGAGTCGGATTAAACTCTCTTCGTTTGGGGGCCAAAAGTTGCTGGAACTCGAGGAAGCGCTAGGTTCAGGTTTATTCCCCGTGGCTTCCTTGTGTGTTTGTGCAGTTTTCTGCGAGTTGGGATGGATGGTTTTCTTGTCTTCCATCTCCTTAGCGAGTGTCCCAAAATCCAGCTGTTCTAAAGTGGGACAAAATACAACATTGTAATCCGAATGAACTTCTTCGAATGCCATGCAACCGAACACAAAATTCAAACATTCAAAAAAAATTCTGATTATGCTACACAAATATATCTAGCTACAGGTTAACTTAAAAGTTCAGTGCTACGCTACCCATTGCAAAGACAATACTATGTATATAAAAAAACTTTTTATGGTAACTTTTCCCCTCCTGTAGCGTAGTGGTTAGCATGCTTGCCTTACAAGCGAGAGGACCTGAGCGGGGATAGTTTCCTTACACCACACACCTCAGTTTACCTAGCAGCAAGTAGGAACCCAGTTGATTGGCAGATCACTTTCTGGGAGTAATCTCCAATGAGAATGCCGCTTCACATCATTTTTTAAAAATGTTTAAATGTGGTCACACAATCCAGGACTGTTTGTGATATGCAATTGGCTGCTGGCTTTCATCCACAAAATACAGTTAATCCATTTTCTAGTGTATCCTGTGAAGCGCTTTGAAATGTCTCAACACCTTGATATCAAATGCAAGGATTATTATATTACTTTGATGTAACTATTCAACACTGGAATCATATTTGAATTATAAGTGCTCATACTTTGTGATAGCTAGGCGCTTGCTGCCCTCAAAACATCCCGGTGGCTTTCCATGGTTTCTGTTTGCTACGGTTTCAGCAGCAATAAAGGAAAAGCAGATTTTTTAAAAAAAAGTGAAGTTGCAGCAAAGCTGAGCTCTGCGGCACGTGCTCCAAGTGTCCCACCGCCCCGTGTGAGGTCACAGACAGCACTGTGTGACGTCAGCTGGGGGAGGAGGAGATTTTCGGACCCAGATCACGTGACCAATGTGGTCAAATTTATTGGGCGGTTTTTTTGTTGGATGAAAAAATATTTTGGGCGGAAGCCTAAATAAAAACAATTCAACCTCCAAAACGTGTCCTCACCCTTTGAAGATCTTACAGTTTTAAAACACTAAACCTAAATCGTGCCACTGTGATGCTCCGCCCCCCCCCCCCCCCCACAGCATGATATTCGGCTCCTGTTTGGTGGACCGAGTCAACACTGGTGCCGTCACTTCCGGAGAAGTGGTTTCCGGTCGCCGGTGTCGGTTGCTGTTGATTGACTGCTCTCTGTGTCTCAGTCTTGCGGGCCCCGAGCCATGGGTTACAGCGGGCTGACGGTGCCCATCATCGTCCTCACCGTTTTCTGGGGGGTGGTGGGCGGCGTCGTGCCGTGGTTCATCCCCAAAGGACCCAACCGAGGGTGAGCCGGGGGTAGAGCGGGCAGGGCCTGTAGGGACTGGACTGGGCCCGACACCCGCCTCGGAGCCAGAGTCCTAGCGGCCGGAGGAGGAGACGCGCTGCCGGCAATAGTGTTCAAAAATGGGGCACGTGAAGATGAGAACGGCCTGGGAGTTTGACTCCTTCCCCCCCCCCCCCCCCCCCCCCCCCACCCCCCCCCCCCCCCCCCCCCCCCCCCCCCCGAGAGAGAGCGCAATAGACTTTTGGGGGAGAGTCAGGCAGAGGCCACCCAGCTCGGGCAGGAGTCGAGGGACTTATCAGAGGAAGTGTTCTTCTCAGGAATCTGGGGACAGGCTGGTCCTGATTCGGTGACCGACTCCGTGGACTCTGGTCTGCTGCATGTCACCCATCCCGCCAGCGGGACTTCAGCCTCTTTGCCCCCACCCTTTGGATCTCCGCCTCGCCCCCTGTGCCAAAACCCTCTTTTTCGACCGTGGCTTTGGTTACCGTCTTACCCCTACTCTTACTGCCCTCCACCTCCTTATTCCAAACCCCAGCTCGGTTCCAAACCCGTGACTGTCCAGCGCTTTGGGCATGAAAGTTGCTATTCAATTGTCATTTGTTGCTGTTGCCTGGACTGACCCTGATCTGGGGAGGGGAAGATTGTGGGAGAGTCACCACACATTGCCTAATTCCCAGGGTCTTGCTCTCTTCATTGCAACTGACGTTTCCCACTGTTTCTATTGAGTGCAATTTGGGTTGTTTGTTGTGTGTGACCTATAAAGTGGTCTGGGATTCAATTTTTCTCCTTCTGGTGGGGTAGTCCAGTCAGTTATCAAATTCAAGTTTGTGGCTCTGGATTCAGATGATTGAGTCGGTCTGATCCTGCTACATTTGGTTTAAACTGCATCAGGGCAGTGATCAAGCCACTGGAGACGACTCCGGTTGTTACAGTAATGAATAGGAATTTGGCAGGATCACTTGTTGCAGATTAGAACAGATAACTGTGAACGTGTACTGTTTTGATATCAAAGGTTTTTTTAGGGAGTGAGAGAATGCTTTGATTAATCAGAAAGTACATTGGTGTTCAACAGCCAAATAAGATCACAATTACATAAAATGGAAGCAATAAATGATCTGGTGGACGCCTATTGTCTCTAGATGCAAAATACAAGGGATTCTGCAACACTAGTCTGAGTTTGAAATATATGGACTGGGCAATTAATGCATTGTTGTTGAAGTATCAAAGCATCTAATTCATTGGTTATAAAATCTTTTGGAAAGCAATTCAATGATCTTACTCAGAAAATGTCTGTTTCCATTTAGGAAAAAAATTGTCAGTGATTTAGACAGGCACTAACAGTTTGTTGGGAACCTACAGTTCCTAAAACAAACTAGAAAGTTCCTGATGAGAACTGGGCTTGATCCAGGAAAGTACTGCAAATAATATGGTGCGTGGGCTGAATTCCATTACAACACTAACTTGCAAATTGTGCACTGTAAGACTCGGTGGGTATTTTACTCCAGCGACAGCAGCTGTCATGACTGATCATGTAATGGCCGACTCTCTCTCATAATGAAACCATGTGATTCGAATGGGAAGTGGTATTGAATTTTACTTTACTGAAGGTTACAGACCTAATTCTGGTGTGACTTGAGCAAGTTGTTTACATAACAAACCTGTAGGCAGTGGAGCCATGCAGGATTGTTGACAATAAGTGACCCTATAATTTAATTTGCTGGTAATTTTACATGACATTGTGCAAGTAAAACAATTAGAGATTGATTTGATGTGATATTGTAATGCAGATATTAAATTGCAATTTAATGTTACCCATAGTTCCATGCACTGGAACTCACGTCCCAGAGCCTTGGGATGTCTTCCCGACGTGAAAGGCGCTCTATAAATGTAATTTTGTTGTTGTTGTTGCACTGTACTACATTCAAAAATATCACATGACCTGGAAGTTAGAAAGTTATTTTCGATATTGTTGAATATTAAATGTTGTTGAATATTAAATGTTTAACAGATATATTTTTCTTAGTTGATGCTCAACTAATATGCAGGTACTGTAGTAACATACAGAAACAGAGCAACTCTGAGTATAAAAAAAGGACTTTGCAATAATTATATTGTATCTTCTTTCACAGTGTGATTAATACTATGCTGGTGACATGTGCTGTTTGCTGCTACTTATTGTAAGTATACAATTTACAAAGTACTCTCACACCAGAAGGTTGTCTCGAAGCACTTTGTGTAGATGACTGAGAGCAAACCATGGTTTTTCCTTTAGGATTATATTGATCCGTAAAGTAGGTTGAATTACAGTAGTGTACATTTAATGAATTATAAATGTGTAATGTACTGCACTAGGCATTCCTTTGTGTTCAGGGTTTCTCTTCATTTTAGGGGAAAATCAGCCAGGGTTCCTGATCACTATCCAGTTACTTTTATTGCAAAGTGTTTTGTGAACATTGGATGTGGGTAGTTATGTGGGTAGTTATGAGCCTGTGTTATGCTCCATCATTGAAAGGGATAGTACAAGCCTGCAAAAAACCTGTGTCATCATGCTGTAAAATAATAGAATTAGAAGTCTTGCCACGCAGTAAAAACTTGCTTTTCTGAAATATTACCACTGGTGTTTTGTTTATATTCGAACACATGCTCACATTGGAATTGGTTACTGGTTTCTACTAGATAATTCTGGTCAGTTTATGCACAGTTTTATTAATCTGCTTTTCTCCTGATCTGTACAGGTATCAGACCAGACTTGGTAAAGGTTTGTAATCAGCATAAACAATTGAGTACAATGTTGATTTTGTGCAATTGTTGTTTGCTAATCATGATCACATAAATGGTATTCTTGGTGTGACAATTGCAGTAGTTTTCACTTGGAGGATAGATTCATTGAAGTAGACTGTGCAATTTCCTAGACCTGTATCTAATATTCCCAGGATTTCAAGTTATTATTTCTCATGTAACCACCTTAATGCTTTTCTCCATCCCTCATGTGGAGTTGGATTAATTGTCTCTAGACCCAAAGCAGCATAAAGTGCTGGGGTGTTACCATGGAGTCCCACATCTTGAATTTGTTTCGGCCAAGTTACTAGGGTAATAGTAGCGAAGTGTCTTCTGATGAGTATATTTGTTTCTTCAGAAAGGAACTGACACACTATAATTCTTTGGCCCAGAAAATGAATCTCAGGCCTACTAATGCCAACAGAATCTTTGAAATGCTTCCATGGCCTTGACATTGATATGCTGCCAGTCGTACATATACATTACAACAACAACTTGCATTTATAGCACCCTTCACATGGGTGCTTGACGGTGGCGGAGTTTGACCCCAAGCTAGGGGGAGAGGGAGGGGGTAGTTGATGGTAAGGATGATCAAAAAGGAAGATCTTTAGGCACAATTTGAAAATGAAGGGGGCAAGGCGGAGGGATTGAGGAAGAGAGTTCCAGAGCTTCGTGGCATGGTGGCTGAAACCACGGCCGCCGATTGTGGAGTGGGGGATAGGTAGGTCGGGAGATGCGAGCTCACAAAGGGATTTGAAAACAAGTAGAAGGTCTTGAAGTCGATCTGTTCAGTAATTGGGAGCCAGTGAAGTCTGGCAAGGACTAGTGCGATGGGGGTCCGGAGTTTTGTACGGGTGAGTATCCGGGCGGCAGAGTTCTGAATTAATTGAATTTTGTGCATGGTGAAACTGAGGATGTCAATGGGAAAGGCATTTGAAAAGTCCAGCTGGGAAATGACAAAGGTGTGGACGAGGGTGTGAGGTATGGGTGGAGGCTGGCAATGTGGCGGAGGTGGAAAAAAGCCTTCCTGGTAAGGTTGTTGGGGAGAAAGGAAAGCTGTGGATCAGGCCTGATCGAAATTACTCACGGGATCAGTGAGTCAGAGGGAGAGCTGGGGGAGGTTGTGGCTCAGTCCCGCGGGAGAGAAGAATATGGCTTCCATCTTGCCGACGTTCAGTTGCAGGAAATTTGCACTCATCCAGGCCTTGATATCCATCAGACAAGTTGACAGGATTGGGAGTCGCAACAAAAGAAGTAGATTTGGGTGTCATCCGTATACATGTGGAAATTTACCTGTGGATGTCATTGCCGAGAGGGAGCATGAAAATAATGAAAGAAAGGGGCCAAGGATGGAGTCTTGGGATACCCTGCAGGTGACGGGGTGGGTGGAGAAATCCTTTGCCGAGATGTATTGTTGGTGGTTAGTCAAGTAGGACTCAAGCCATGCAAGTGCAGTTCCAACTAAGGTGGGTGAGGGTGGAGGAGGATGACGTGACCGACTCTGTCAAACGTGGCAGAGATGTCGAGGAGGCAGAGGGAGCCCTGGTCACGGATAGCGAGGAAGTCATTTGTTACTTTGACGAGTGCTGTCTTTGCTGTGGGCTGGACAAAAACCGGACTGGAGGGGTTTGCGTAGGGAATGGAGGGAGAGGTGTGAGCAAAGTTGATTTGCAACCACGCGTTCCAAAACTTTGGCCAGGAAGGGCAGATTTTAAATGGGTCTGAAATTTGTAAGGTTGGGTGGATCGAGGGTTAGTTTTTTGAGGAGAGGAATGATGACAGTGGTTTTGAGCTGGAGTGGGACAGAGGCTGAGGAGAGGGACTGGTTGATTGTATCAGCCAGCAGTGGTCAGAGGAGGGGGCAGTGGGTGACCAGAAGCTGCGTGGGTGGGCTTTATCTTGGTGCAAGCAGAGGTCGTTTTCATAAGTGTAATCAGGATAGAGAACTGAAATCCCAGGAAAGGAAGTTGATTAAGAAACTGCAGTAAATGTGGCAATCAAATAAGAATATTGCAGCATTAAATAGAAGATCCAGGAATTAGCTCTGAAATGAATGGTTTATTTCAGATCATCAGTTCTAGTGTAAAAATGATTATTTTATTACAATTTAACCTTAGTGGAGAGAGTTCTAATTGTATTGCTTACTTATTTTAATAAACAATACTTTGCTTGTTAAAAAAAATGCTTTTTTTTGGCCAGAAGTGGTTGGAATTGCTTTGTCATGATGTTTTTGTTCCCGATCGTGTTAAACAACAAGATTACATTTGTACAGCACCTTTCATGTCGGGAGGATGTTCCAAAGCGCAGGACGGTACAGCATTTCAGACCCGAGCTGGGGTCAGGGGGGGAGTGGGGAGGGGAAGGGGGGTGGCCGATGGCCTGGTCGAAGAGGAGGGTTTTGAGGCGGGACTTGAAGGAAGCTAAGGAGGGGGCGAGGCGGAGTGACTTGGGGATGGAGTTCCAGAGGTTGGGGGCAGAGTGGCTGAAGAATCATCTGCCTGTCTCTTTGTCTTCTAGTTCCTGAGCCAATGGTGAGGCGGGTGGGTCGGGGGATGTGGAGCAGGCCGGAGACGGCTGAGCGGAGGGAATGGGCGGGTTGGTAACTGGTTAGGAGGTCACAGAGGTAGGGTGGGGCGAGGCCATGGAAGGCTTTGTAGGTGAGGACCAGGATCTTGAACTGGATCCTCTGAAGGATAAGGAGCCAGTGGAGTCGGGCGAGATTTGGGGGAGATGGGGTCACGGAGTTTGGTGCGGGAGAGGACACGGGCTGCAGAGTTCTGGATTATCTGCAGCCTGTGGAAGGAGGAGTTGGGAAAGCCGACAAGCAGGACGTTTGCATAGTCGAGCCTGGAGGTGATGAAGGCATGAACAAGAGTTTCAGCGGCCTGAGGGATGAGGTAGTGGTGGAGTTCGGTGATGTTACGGAAGTGAGGGAAGGCAGAGCGGGTCATGGCTTGGATGTGGGGAAGAAAAGACAATTGAGGGTTGAACAAGACACCTAGGTTTCCTGGTTTAAATAAAATATAAAAGGTTTAAATGGCTACAAACACGGGCAGAATGTAGTTCCCAAATCTATGAGGGAAAACTGGAAGTTTTAATTAGGTTTGTTTGTATGTGCTGAGCTGCATTTTCATAAAAGAATGGGGGCATGAGAGTTTGCTTCCAAATCAACATTTTTACGTCTTGTATATTGAATTTGTTTACCTATTTATTCCCCAACCCACTAGCTGTTGCTCCCGCTCGACTGCCTTCTGCTTGTCCCTTGCGCTCTCTGTTCGACCGGTGGAGCTGCTTTCAGCCACTATGCCCCAAAACTCTGGAACACTCTTCCTCTATCCCTGTGCTTTGTCCCCTCTTTCCCCATCTTTAGGTCGTGCCTCAAGACCTTCGTGTTCGACCGTGCCTACAGTCAGCTCCCCCCAGCTCGGCGTTGTCTCCACCACTGCCGAGCGCTCTGGGGAAGGGCATATAAACTACAACAACTTGCATTGATATAGCACCCTGTGTGAATAGCCCCCGGTGTTATCTAAATACATGTTGTTTATATTCAACAAAACAACTTGTAAAGCAGATTCCTGTAGAATCACTGATGAGAGAAAAAAAAACTGGCAACCATGGTTCAAAAGGTAAGCATGTTTTCAGGAAAACAGAATTGAAAATAAAGACAACATTCCTCTTCAGTGACCAGCTTTTTGGATCTTGTGGTTCTTGGCTAACCCTGATTCCTGACTGAATTTGAGTTGGTCAGTGTCCCAAAACGATGCTGGCTTCAGCCAAATTAAGAGTATAAATCAGGCATCCTTTTGGAATACTAAATAAGGAACTAATTCTCTTCCGAACAATGATGAAGGTTGCTGGTTGTTCAGCTCCTGTTCTGTTTGCACAAGTGAAGTAATTCCTATACTTACTTTCCTTTATTTAATTACTGAACATTTGTAAGTTGTTTCGTCTTGCAAGGATCAGAGCACTCTGTTGACCACTTACACAGATTACTTGTGTTGCCATGGCTTGCAACAGTTACTGGTAAAATGATGCAACCAAAAATCTTTAGTTCCTTGATGAAGGCTGCAACTTTCTTGTTTAATTGAAAATCGGACATTTGCTTCATGCTGAAACTTAAACCATTGTGTCATCGACGTCATTTTATTTTCTTTGGAGGTAATAAAATCAACTTTGCAATAAGGTAGACATGTGCCAAGTATGTTGAGCAGGTGAACACAACTGCTATGAAGGATTCAGAACAATGGAGAGAGTAATCACGAGTATAGTAGAAAAAAGGTACCTTACTATTGGGGTCAGTACCCATTTAAGCTATATAAATGTAAATTTGTGTTTGTCATGTATTGATTGTATTGTAGCCTGAAATAATTGCTTGCTATCCAACAAATGGTACATAAGT